TCTCGATTTTCCTAAAAAACATATTTCGACAAGAATTGACCTTATTCAGGCATTCAAATGTAGCAATTTTTTAGGCTAAACTGTAAAAGATCAATTTCCTTTAAAATTCCTTTTTGATTAATGGGAAAGGCTTTTCGTGGCGCGCGGTACGTAGAGTCACCTTTTTTACCCTATTTTACCATTCATTAAATTATTCTCAAGTTTTTACCATTCATTGTATATTCTTCAGAACTTTAGTTTTGAGCTTATTTGTTGCTATAACGGAAGAGATATCTTGGGCATGCGTGACCTTGGCATCAGCTGAAAACCGTGGTAAACGGGTCCACACTCTTTTCAACTTCAATCAGTAGCACAGCATAAAGGGAAATCAAAGTGTCTCCGTTAAGTTAAGGACAGCAATATATTGTACGCCGCTTTGACTAAAGCGGGATCCAACCTAGAGAGTACTAGCGACGAATTATATCATGTCGCAGTTTGAAAGTATCAAAAAATGACGCCTTTGAAAATAGTGTTCTCTGGAAAAAATTTCTTTTTTCGACATGACCGAGTATTTTGAAGTCAATGATTAAGAAAATTAACAGTTTGGAAAGTAACCTATTCACCACCAGTTTTTAGTTTTCTGTTATCTTTAACAGAAAGACTGTTGATTGCATGGTTGAGAATAAAAAAATTCTTGATACACAAAGACGGTTTCCTTCAGAGAAGAATACGAACGGTCAAAGATGATAACTAGTGGTAAAATAGAACATTCGGCTAAATGCTGTTTTTCTATTCTACTCAACCCGTTTCAACGAGTCAAACATCTGAACTCCTCCATTTTCTGAAACACCGTTTTGGGAGAAGCATTTCTCTCTTGTATACGGTTGGTGAATTCTTAGCGAAATCTTTGAAAATAACCCATTTAAATTTGTTACTAATTTCAATGGACGTGGTTAGTAGAACCTCGTTTATGATCCTCCTTCACCTTTCATTGAATTATTCTGTGTGAATCAATCCATATCTTAGTTTATTTGTTATTAGAAGGTAAAAGAAGTTGAACTTGCTTTGATGCGTGTACTTTTTATCCGCATATATAACGGTGACGTGGGTGTGTGGACATTCTTTCCAGGACTGGAAACTGTGAAAAGAAATCTACCGATAAAAAGAAAAACTAACGATTTTGACACCTAATCATCACCGATGTTTACCTTTCTGTAAGCTTGGAGTAAATTTAAATGAAAACTTTATACATCAAGAAGGGCGGCTTCGGGAAAGAATAAGGCCCAAAGATGATACTCGGTGTTAAAAAAGAATAGTGACTGTCTGTTGAACGTTGTGCTTCCTTTGACAACAACGATTTAAACGTTCGAGCTGCTTACAAGCTATCTTCTCGATTTTCCTAAAAAACACATTTCGACGAGAATTGACCTTATTTACATTCAAATGTAGCAATTTTTTAGGCTAAACTGTGAAAGATCAATTTCCTTTAAAACTACTTTTTTATTAAGGGGAAAGGCTTTTCGTGGCGCAGTACGTAGAGTCACATTTTTGACCCTCTTTTACCATTCATCATACTATTCTCAGGTTAGCATTCATTGTATTATTCTTTAGAACTTTATTTTTTAGCTCGTAACATCATTAGCACAGCATAAAGTTATTAAAGTGTTTCCGTTAGATTGAGGACAAGCAACATTGTACGCCGCTTTGACTAAAGCGGGATCCACCCTAGAGAGTACTAGCGACAAATTATAGCATGTCGCAGTTTGAAAGTGTCAAAAAATGATGCCTTTAAAAACGGTTTTCTCTTGAAAGAATCTTTTTTTGAAATGACCGAGTATTTTGAAGTCAATAATTAAGAAAACTAACATTTTGGAAAGTAACCTTTTTACCACCAGAGTTTTGCCCTATAACCAGAGTATAATACCATCAACTGACGTGATACAACTTACCTTGACTCTGAAGATGACCGCACAGGTTGTCGAAACATTAGTCAATGTCAACAACAACAGTTCTATTCAGGACTACGTTTACTCGGACGATGAAACTCAACCTACTTTTGAAATGACTCCTGGATTTAAACCTTTCACATGATAATTAGTGGTAGAAAAGAATACAGTCGAACCTCTCGGTACGGACACCTCTCTGATACGGACTCCTCTCTATTACGGACAGTTTCCAATGTCCCGAGAAATTCTCATATATTTTCTTTAAAAAAAAACCTCCATAATACCGACTCTCTCTAATACGGACAACGGACACGAAATCTCGGCCCCAGAGAGTAATTTCATAAAAAACTTAACCTCTTTATTACGGATACTACTGTGATCAGGTGCCGATCCCGAATCCCGATCAGGTGAATCTGCACAGGATGAATCTCGTTTTTGACCCCCTTTTACCATTCTTTGTATTATTCTTTAAAACAATGTTTGCCAGCTTTTTTAACTTAAGAATCATCTTGTACATGTGTGACCTTGGTATCCAATTAAAATCGTGCTGTAAAAAAATAAAGGGTCGACAATCTTTCCAACACCACTAAAAGGAAATTAAATTGTATTTTATCAGTTTGATTACAAGCAATATTGTACGCCGATTCGACTTAAGCAGGACCCATTTTCTTTTCGAAGAATTGTAGCATGTGTCATTTTGTTAGTATTAAAAGTTCATGGCTTTAAAAAAAGTGTTTTTTTGAAAGAAAATCTATTTTTTGACATGATAGAGTAGGTTTAAGTAAATAATTAAGCACAACTAACGTTTTGGAAACCTGTTCACCACCGGAGTTTAGCTTTCTAAAGAGCTTTAACAGAACTGACTATCGATTGCATCGGTGGTAACAAAATTCAAGACACCCTTCATAGAAGAGGGGTGGCTTCAGAGAAGAGTAAGTCCGGCCAAAAATGATAACTGGTAGTAAAAAATATTATAATAAGATTCCAACACCCCTTCATTTTTCATTTTTTGATTAACTTTTACAAATATTTGCGTGAACCTTTTTATCACATAAAACGAGAAGGTAAGACGTCCTTTTTCGGCTTCATAAGCCATTGGAAAAGTTGTTTTGGTCAGTTTGCCAACGGCAAGAAAATCTACATCGACTCAATTTTGCACCCAAAATCAGATATTCACTATTTAAAAAAGGTTCTTTTGAAGGAAAGACTCCATCCATGACATCTACTAAGTTACTATGGGCATTTCACTTCATTCTGCTGCCTAAGTAGGTGACAGCGCTGTTTTATTTTTATTCCGTCGTTGAGATCCGAGCCAACAGGCGTTAATAAGGCGGCGCAGTGAGTAGAAGGAGTCTTTATAACATCAGTGGCTTTCTTACGAGTGACTGCAAATAAAACTGTAAAGAGATGGCGAAGACGGCTTAGGACACGTTTTGGTTACCTTTTTCTTTGGCCGAAAGTCGAGACAGCTGACTAAAACTGAGGAAAAGCGTAACAATTAAAATTAGCCCAGGTAATACTGAAAGCATCAACAGCTGTGGCACCAGGTTCTCGATCCCATGAAACTAAACTATCAGACTTGGCATCAAGCCTTGCGCAATAAAAAGTAGATTACATGAACGAAGGTCAAGCTTGCCTTAGGCCATCAACTTTTGAGACCACTCCAAATAAGATGGATCAAGTAAGGTCTACGGCCAATGGTCTCAATCATCCATAAACCCGCCACAAAACCACTTTCTGATAAACAATGGGACCAAGAGGCAATTCTAAAGGATAAATCCAGATTGGTAACGGGAGAATGATTTTAGCCATTGCTGCACCATGGTGGTTCGGTGACAGATTTGCACGTTAACTACACCACGGATACGAAATACTGCAAAATCACCATTCAGAAACTAAAAGAACAGCTCATATCACTAAAAATTTTAGGTTTTTTCGTGTAATGCGAGATAAAATAGTTTGTGCGTCCTAGAGAGTCGATTATATACGATTTTAAAACGTGGTATTCCACAGTGCTATGAATTGCCCTCTATTACAACGTTCCCCATGGTATTGTACCCTATTTTTGACTGCTTTCTTAAGTGGCGGGGAGGCTAGACGAGGTGGGGAGAGAGTGTTTTTCACGCTCGCTCGCGTTTCGCTCGCTCCACTATCCCTGAGGACCAATGGGGAACTACTCGTAGCCTACTGAAGAAACGAAACGAGCGCTGCACATGTATATACCTAATTCAATAAAGGTTGCTTTGGTAATTGGTCAATGGCAATAGCCCACGTTCGATATACTAAAAGTCTAACATGACTCCGAGGCTTTAGGGTCAAAATTGCAAATTTGTCTCCGACTCCGTTGTCTCGCAATTTCCAGAAGAGACTTGAGAAGAAAGAAAACCAAACCAGATATAAAAAAATGACCAGAAAGCCTCGGAGTCATGTTAAAATTTTAATTATATAGAACTTGGGCTATTGGGCATTCAGCTCAATGCAATGCGTGAGTGACCTCAAAACAATAGATTCCCAGTGCCCAATTACCAATACCCAAAGCAACCTCAGGGCTGTGCTCTAGCAGAGCCCGGTGGCCCCTGGCGCCTAACTTTTGCCCTCGGACGACTAGAAAATCTCAGATTTCTCATACAAATCATATGCTGGGCACCCTAGATTTTACAGTTTCAGAGCACTGGGCTCCCTCCAATTTTCCTTAGAGCACAGCCTTTAACCTTTATTGAATCAGCTATATTAACCTCGTTCTTTCAGCCATGACGCGAAAACATGCTACACACACGTATACGCCGCGTTCTTTAAGTCACAGATCAGACGGAAAAAGTAAGAGACGAGGCGAAATGACTTCAGATGTTAGCGAACAGGGCGTTGGCGAAACGACTCGTAGGCGAAACGACCGTAAACCCTTAAAGTTAAAAATTTTTTCGTTTCACTCGTTACAAAATTTGATTTAAAAAAAGATGTTTGTAAACAGTTTTAGATCGCTATGAGGTTGTTTCTATAAAGATGTAACTGACTTCTGAACCCACAACGGAGTTTTTTTTGTTTTCCGTAAGGTGAATTTTATTTTTTTTTGTTTCATGCTGTCTTGTTGTCCTTACGCTCATACCATAATGTGATAATTTGATGCTACTCTCGTGAACTTTTCAAGGAAAGTACTGCATTATTTCATGTACTACGGGTAAGAGCTTAACCTAACTGAGTCTAGGACAAAAACAAAACCTAAAATACCTACAACATTGTACCAACAACCATGCATTCACTGTTGTTTCTTTATAAAACAGTCAAGGCCCTGTATAGTACAAACTCTCGATGTCTTCTAAGTGATAAAAAAAGATAATCAGAAAAAAAGAACCTGAAAGCATCAATAATTATTTTAATTTGTTCACAATAGTATCCAGTATGATTTCAAGTGTCAAGGTTTTCAATATTTTCTCCACTCTTCATTTCTTCATCCTGATCAACAGGTAATAAAGGTTTTGTTGATGTAAGTGTGTATGATCCCATTCCAGCTGCTCTCTCAGCTTCTTCTGGTGTGTATGGCACTTCCTTTAACATTTTCACCCTGACAAAGGAGAAAAATCCCAAGTCAGAACTGACACTGGTGATGAGAGGGGGGGGTGGTAAGAGTGGGTACAGGGGTGGGAGGGGAAAAAGGAAGAGAGAGAGGTGCTCCACTCAAAAGTGTACATTTGGGGAGGTCTTCATCCTCGGAGACCCAGGGGCAGATAGTGGGGACGAGGGAAAGTCTAAACGGGCGGAAAAATATGGCACGAAGAAAAGTAAAGAAGGGCGAGAAGAGCCCCTGGGGACAATGTCTTACCAGACCAGTTCCAAACGGTCGCGGCCGTTCTGGCTTCTGATTGGTGCCAGAAAAACACACCTGTAGTCTCACCTTCCTGTCCTCCACCACTATGCAGTAATACTGTTTAGACCTAACTTTCACCATCTGTTTTAAAGGCATTTCTCTTTGGCACCACTACTGTGCCTGACATGGCACAGGGTCTCAATGGGGTGCTAGCTGTAACAGTTGACAGTAAAATTTTTCCAATTTTGACAGCTGACATTTAACCCCATTGAGAACCTCATAGCAACTTACTTCTTCCGGTGAACTCTTGATCGTATGTGATCTTTTAATGACTTATCATCAACAAAGTATCTCCTAAAAAGGAAAAAAAAAAAGTTCAGCATCCATACCTTAAGACTTTATTGCTAAAAATTTCTTAGTAAAGATTGAGTGGAATACAACTCTTAAACTCATACCCCATGTTTATAACTAGTTAGGGCAAAATAGTCCTCTGGACTTATCCATACAGAAAGAATCCCGACCAGGGATGAAACAGAATACCCTGTAATTCATTGAATGTGGGGAAGTAAAGGGCTGGTGATGGAAATGCAGCAATCACACCCAATCACCCAGTATTTTCAGACCTATTCAAAAAACTACATGGCATGAAAAATGGAACATGTATTGAACAAAGACTTCTTCAAAACCTGGTCAGAAACTAGGTGCATATATGTTTTGTCTGGACGGAGTCTAGCCTGGACAAGTGCACATTACATGTCTGTGGTTTTATCTGATAAATATACATATATATAACTATTCAGAGAGGGAAGAAATACGCTGTGTAACTCATTGTCTCTGATTTGGGATAATTTTAGAAAGAAGACATTTTTCACGACAGGATTAGCTCAGTCGGTAGAGCGTTCGACTGCAGAGCGGGAGGTCGCGGGTTCGATTCCCAGGGCCGGCCCATTACTCAGGGTCTTAAAATGACTGAGAAATGAAGGTACTTCCTTTGCACTGCAAGAGGCGAGACCTTCGCGTGGCTCGGATGACCACGTAAAATGGCGGTCTCGTCTCCATTAGGAGACGTAAAAATAGTGTCCCCAATTAGCACTTTCGCGCTAAATACATTGACACTCAAATAGAAAGTGCATTTTTTTTTTCATTACCCCTGCTTGTGCACTTGGACTACTGTCACGCAATTATTGATGATATATTGATATCAACAACAGCTTACAAGCAAGCCAGGTAAAGCGTACCTCCCCAAGATTCCATTAATGAATTCATAAGTTGAAAATTGAATCTGTTGGTAGTTGTAGATTTCAAATTCATTTCTGCATAATTCCCGCATGCATAACGAGCAGTGAATTCACATGCAAGGTTGTTATGAACTTTCTACCAAGTCAGTTTTCTTGAATTTGATGTGAAATCAATGCCTTTAAAGCAATTTTATCCATTCAAATATTCTTCAAACAGACCGAATAAAGAGAAGTTATTATAATAAAATTTACTGCTCATTACACATGCCGGAATGCAGATTTGAATTTGGTATTGGTTGCTGCAACGACTAACAGATTCAACTTCTGAATGATAAATTCATTAATGGAATCTTGAGGGGTACGCTTCACTTTGCTTAACTGTAAGGTCCACAAATGAACCAACAACAGCATTTAAGGGTCAAATAACCACTCCTGGAAAGTCAGTTTCAAGAAACTCACTAATATTTAATCAGTGCTGGATCCAGACCTTGAGATAAGGAGGGGGGGGAGCCGGTCTGCAAAGAATTTTTTTCAGCCCTTCAGGCCTCAGTTTGGTCTAAAAATAAGGGGGAGGGGAGCCCAGGCCCCTCCCCTGGATACGCCACTGTTAATGAAGTGAAGAGAACAATATTGATTCTATGTCATTATCCCAGTTCCTTTATTGGGAATGAAAGAACACTTCTTCAAGTAAGGGGCCAAAAAAGTAGAAAGTCCCAATAATTAACTGACCCAGGAAAGCTGTTGTTACATTTAACATAGGGCATTAATAGTTCGGCAGATATCAAGATAAAAATTATCAGTTAACAAAACAAAATGGACTGATTGTTTGCTAACATATACGCTTTTATTCTTTATAATTTGATTTGAATATTTGATTTTGGGTGGAAAAAAATACTGGGGCTTTCAAGAAAGAGGACCCTGACTCATGAATTGAAGTGACTAAAGAGAAAGAGACTAAATAGAGACTAGAAAGAGAAAGGCTAAAGAGACTCTCCTCTTAATAGTCTTGGAGGGGGGGTACCACCGTTCCGCTGAGTTGCTTGTCTTCACAGATTTAGTCACAGGAGATTAGGTTAATTGAGTGGAAAATGAAGATATTTCCTTCACATTTTCAATGCTTAAGACAACGAGTTCCCTTTAAAAATACGATCCAAAATCTCGCTAGCCTTTCCTTCTACAATTCCAAAACCTAGTTTTCAAGACAAATCTCAAGAAAACCAATAAGACTTAGAATATTAATTACTTGCCACTTTATGAGCGTATCGCAACTTGATCAAAGACAACGTGTCTCGTTTATCAGAAACTGCAGGTAAAACTTACGCGCATTGTATGCAGTAATATTGTCCAGAGCCAGGAAGCAATACGCTTTTATTCTTTATAATTTGATTTGAATATTTGATTTTGGGTGGAAAAAAATACTGGGGCTTTCAAGAAAGAGGCCCCTGACTTCATGAATTGAAGTGACTAAAGAGAAAGAGACTAAATAGAGACTAGAAAGAGAAAGGCTAAAGAGACTCTCCTCTTAATAGTCTTGGAGGGGGGGGGGGTACCACCGTTCCGCTGAGTTGCTTGTCTTCACAGATTCAGTCACAGACGTGACAGGTCACAGAAGATTAGGTTAATTGAGTGGAAAATGAAGATATTTCCTTCACATTTTCAATGCTTTAGACAACGAGTTCCCTTTAAAAATACGATCCAAAATCTCGCTAGCCTTTCCTTCTACAATTCCAAAACCTAGTTTTCAAGACAAATCTCAAGAAAACCAATAAGACTTAGAATAATTTATTTGGCACTAGTACCACTAGGCTTTTATGAGCGTATCGCCTTACTTGATCAAAGAAGACGTGTCTCGTTTATCAGTAACTGCAGGTAAAACTTACGCGCATTGTATGCAGTAATATTGTCCAGCGCCAGGAAGATCCATATCTACCTCTTGTGATTTCAGTTTGGCAGCGTTCTGTGGCTGCATGTCCACGTGGATTTGATCCAAGTCTTTTGTTCGACGTTTGGTACGGTATTTCTTTTTCAAGTGTTTATCATTTTTATGCATTCGTTTCCTTCGCAATCGGCCCATGTTTAGAACTGATTTGCTCGCAGATATTAGCTACAACCAGCAAATACGAGAATAGAAAATGTTCGAGCAGTTTCCAAGATGGCCGCTAGATGTGAATCGTCCAGGCGTTTTTGCGTAAGGTGCGGAAGACTGGAGAACGGGGTGACCACTGGCTACCCTGGGAGGGTATCCAGGAAAGATCAAGGAGAAATAAAAATTCCAAAAAAAATCGCAATAAAAACTTCTCGAATATATGTTTTAAGTAAAAAACAATATCCATTTTTATTTACTTTCAAGCCATCTTTTTTGTATATTTTAAGTCAATATCTTTAAGCGAATTTAAACGAATTCTATTTTGTCAGTAGGGTGGGGATAAATTCTGAGCGCCAAAACGAGGAAAAAGTTGTTTTCTTTGGCCTCGAATTTTGAACGAAAGAAGATGCAATGCCAAAGTTGTCAGGAGATTCTACGGTTCAAAGGGAGTTTCCCTAATGAGGTAGAAAGGAAAGGATTAAATGGTGTTTTGTCTGTCGTCTCGTAAATAAAATCTCGACTGACATGGACGAGGCGCTTCCTGGGTTCGAAAACCGATCAGACGTCCAGCAGGAAACCTTGAATTTGTCAACAAACTCCGCTCAAACGAAAGACGTTTTTCGCTCAGACGAACCTGTCACGAATCGAAGGTCGGGCCATTTGACATCTCCAGGAACCAAGAGATATGGCATGACTAATTTTGACGATATAAATGTTCAACAGGACTTGTTAGATGAATTCGACCCCCTGTCATCACATTCGAATACGACTGAAAATGACTTCAATGACGGAGACCCATCGGGGAAGAAGAAGACATCTGTCCAAAGATTGGACTCAAAGAAGAACATGGAACCCCATCGGTCATCTGGGCTTATCTTAGGTAATATTCAAGAAACAAGCTTGGCAGTTGCGCCGACAAATTCTGGGGATGAAAGGATTTTGAGTGGCTGTCAGCAAACTGAATACAGTGAACAGGTTTTTGAAAATGGTGGAAAGTTGGAGAGAGGTGAGGTTGATGAAGATATTGATGGTGAAGCTGAGGTTGTGGATGAAGGTAAGAATTCCCATATTCATCAAAGTAGCTTTCACAAGTTTTCAGCTTGTCTGCTTCTATAACCTTTAATAGTTGGGTTGATTTAGCTTGCACTTTTAACTAGTGATTAGATCACCTCCCTGATATTTGATATAGGTGATATTTGTTCAGGTTAGAGTACTTTTAATTCATGTGGAATGTTGTAATACTGATTTGACGTCGATAAGGTATTGATTAACTACAGTCAGTTAAACTGTCTTTATTCAAAGCATGGAAAGAACAGCTATCCAGTTAAGGAGAATAAAGCTTTGGAGCAAATTCCATTCATATGTTTCTGTGCTCATTACAGTACATTTATCCATTCCAAAATATCAGGTTTTGTCACCATAGCCTTTAGTTTTTGTGGTATAAAAGGTGTTTTATGCAGATGGTCAACTTCTGAAAAACTGCCCTGTCTACCATGATGTGTGGGTATTTTCTTTGTGTATGTGTTTTCTTTCTTTGAACTAGATGACAGGTTGTAAAACTCAAATCCCACACTTTGGTACATGTAAAATAAACATGTCCAAATTCTAGGCGTGTGGCCACTTTCACCGAATAGATGTATCATTGGTCTAATTAACATTTCATTTTGGGCTACAACAAGCATGATGTTTCCAGTTGTGTCTGATACTCTTTCCAAGCTTCATTTCATTTAATAGCCTGTAAATACAGCTCAATACTCAGTCCTTGCCACTAGGGGCATTTCGTGGGGAACATTTTGCCTCCCTAGTGTCAAAGATCGGGGGAGACAGCTGTATTCGCAAGCTACATGTATACTCATGTGACCAACTTTCAAGATTAATTTTTAACCAGTCTCAACAGACACAGCAGAAGTGGATGAAAGTGGAGGAAATCCTACTCCCCATCTTTCAACCTTGAGTAAATTGGATGATGACTTCCGTGACATTGCTCAGCATCATATACTTTCAGTGGCTGGTAAGCAATCATATTATTATTGTGAAAGGTTTGAACCCAGGAGTCATTTCATAAGAGGGTGGAGCATGATCACCCGAAGCATGAGGACTGTTCCTATTCAGGACTATGCTCACTGAACAATCATGCTCCACCTTCTTATGAAATCTATACAATGTAGGGGATTTTAGACCTACTGTACAGTGTTTTTACAGGTGACGTGAGGGCAGGTTTTTAACTGTAATGTTTTATGATTATCAGTGGTAGTGTCATATATTTTGAGACACCAACAAAAAAGCAAGTTCTCAACCACTGTGAATAATATATTTTCTTTACAGGTGATGATAAGAGTGGAAGACCAGTTATTGTGTTCTCATCATGCAGAATGCCACCAATAAGTTCCATTGACCACACACGGTTATTCAAGTAAATAATCTTACACTATAATACTCAGAACTCTTTAATTACTAATTAAAATTAATTTATAAACGGTCTAATTTACTATGTAAATTAACAAATTATTTATTACATATCAACATGCAAAGAAAGTATTGCCAGATAGCCCGTGGCTAGTGAATTCTGTTTTTATGTGATCGTTTTTTAGGAATTCGAATAACAGAAGAACTGTGAGATCAATTCTGCTTCAAAAAGCTTTTGGGGCTAGTTGAAATGACGTCTGGGCTAGTAGATGTTAGCTTCAGCTTGCCGTAAAAATGATTTTCTTTGCACCCTGCATATTTATAGTTATTGCTTTGAATGACAAATGGCAAATTTATCACTCATTTAGTTTATTGATATACATACCGGTAGGCGGCATTGCAGAGGTGATCTAACCCCAGCTAGTCAAGTCTGTGAAGTTGCTGAAATCCTTTTTCTGGACCCCCTTAACCCTTTAAGTCCCAATAGTGACCAACATAAAATTTCTCCTAACATCATCCATACATTTTCAAGAGATAAGGTTATGAGAATTAACAAAACGATCAATAAAGAGAAAATGCCTTGATCTTTCATTAAATTCTCTCAACTAATTCTTACAGGAAATGTACGTAGATCACTTTGGAGAATTTGTACCTGTATATTAGGGCTAAAGGGTTAACAGACTCAATGTATAATTATACAGAACTGTGTGTTTTGGATTTCCCTTCAAACAACAACATTATCAGGGCTCAACATTAAAAAAATCCTCAGGTCTCCTTTTGGCATCCAACTTGAGAAATAAAGTCGCCTGATACAAATTTTTAGTCCCCAGTTTGTGTAATGTAATCATGATGCAGCTTGTAATATGGCACGATCCATCAGGTTTGATTGTTTGAAATATCGCGAACAGAAGTCAGTATAAATTTGGAGGTAAACTTGCTTTGTGTGTGCGATTTGGCACATTTTCTCTGATGAAAGCAAAGCAAGATAGGATGAAATGTTTGTTTTAACTTTACTCTTTTAATTTAAATTTAAATCATAGAGAAATCTGGTCGCCAAAGTGGCGACTAATCAACCAGAAGTTTTAGTCGCCAAGGAGAAAATTTTAGTTGCATCGGCGACCATATCAGTCGCAATTTTGAGCCCTGATTATTGACAACTGCAGCTCAATTTCTTTGTGAAAGCAGCTGCATATATTATATTCTCAATGATACCCTTGCGAAATCAAAACCTATTTTCTTATGCGGGCAGCACCACAGACATTAAGTGTATACTATGCATCTCAGAGCCAGCTTCAGGGTCAGTTTAAAATGTTGCTAATGATATAAATCAGCCTAATCAGACTCTCAGTTTTCCAATATTTGTGGTTTTGTTTTATTGTAGGTATTTATTATGCACATTAGATCAGTATGTTGAGAATGATTACACCATTGTGTACTTTCACTTTGGGCTTACCAGCAAGAACAAACCAGGCATGTCAAAAGTCATTCAACTCTACCGTGAACTGGATAGAAAGTAAGAAGCAAAAACCACGTGGCCTTGTTTTATTTGCATGGATGGTGTTCTTTTCCAGAGTGCAAAGGAAGTCGTGTCTAATAGCCTGGGGCTAGTGGATTTTGCTATCGGGCTAGTGAGTTCTGTTCTTAACTTGCCCGATGGGCAAGTGCTGTTTTTTTGGTGAAATTCAAATTACAGAAGCATTGTAATCAATTCTGCTAGTCAAAAAGGGTTTTGGAGCTAGTTGAAGTGACGTGTGGGCTAGCACATGCTAGCTACAACTTGCCTGAACGACGGGCTGTAAAACTGACTTTCTGTGCACCCTGTTTTCTGCATCTGTCAGGATCATATTGATTTTTGAATTTTTTTAATCAAGTCACCTTCCTCCTTGAACATCTCTGCTTCACTTCAAATCATTTCAAGTAATTTTTCTGGTGCATTTGTAACGAATTTAGTCTATCTACAGGTACCGAAAGAATATCAAAGCCCTTTATGTAGTCCACCCATCAAGTACCATCAAGCTGATATGGGCAACCCTAGCGAAGGTTTTAAGGTACAAGATTTATCAGTAATTTATTGTATTCGTTCTTTTTTTCCTTTTTTCCCTCTTTTCTGCTCAATGCACCCTTTTCCAAAATGGTAGCAATGCCTCTTGTTACCAACTGTATTAATATATTTTTTTAAATTTTTCATTCTTGAGTTGCTGCTGAAAGTTTTCGAAAATTTTTTGTTCCCTAATTTTTACTTCATTTTTCCCTTTTATTTTTTGTAATAACTTGAAAATTCAATTTATATACTAAGCCTTACGGAAAGCAATGGGGGCTGTTTCATTTCTAAAGCTGGGTACATTCACTTGACATTCTTTTTCCTTTTCAATCAAACCTGATGCATGTTTCAGTGAATGTGAACTGTGGTGCAGTAGTGCACAATTGTCGGCGAAATTAATGATGAGGCTCTTGTTTTGCAGCCCTAAGTTCTCAAGGAAGTTGTTTTATATAACAAGACTTCAAGATCTGGCAGATATTGTTCATCTTGATCAAATTGACATTCCTAAGCAAGTAATGGAGTAGGTGTCTCTCTTATGCCATTATATGTTACAGGTCAAAATTAAATTCAGGTTAAAATTTTTTAAACCAGGTTGATTCTCATTTTCCTTTGTTTCCTAGCCCTAATTCATGAATAATTAGGGCTAGGAAACAAAGGAAATGGAAATTGTGAATCAAACTGGATGAAATACAAGCCCTTGGATTTCATGGTAACGAAAAAAAAAAACAGAAGTAGTTTCCCAGTGACATTTTCAGCCGTAGGGGTCAATTTACAGAAATTCTTTTTTTTTCAATAAGTAGTTTCTTAGAAATCGACTTTGAGATAAATATTAGCGATAAAAAATCACGACGTTTCGACCTCTCCAAGGTCATTTTCAAGTGTATAAAAGTTCTCTAAATTAGCATAAACAAGTTAAAAACAAGTTATAACAGATAAAAATGTGGTGAACGCTAAAATGTGATAAAATATGTAAAAATATAAAAAGTGCTAAAAATATTTATAAAGTCAAAAAACAATGGAAATAAAACAATGTTAACAAGAACTACTCTAAACAAATAATTTGGCGCGAATTGAATCGCACTGTTTGTTAAGCGTCGGTTTCAGTTCCTGGATAAAAAACATTTCAAAAATAAGGCAGTCAAATTTGTTCTGACACTTTCTTAAGATTCTAAAACTTTGTGCGATGTCTTCAGGCTCCATATCATGCTGCTTTCTGAGGTGGTTTCCGATTGCCGATCCTTTGTCTTCTTCAATTCGTTGGTGTAGGTGTCGGCACATGTAGCCGACATAGCCTGCATCACACAGCGAACGCAAGGGTCCATCACCACCGAAAACAATGCTGAGGGCGATAAGTCAACTTAAGAAGAGAGATGACATTGTTATCACAAAGCCTGATAAGGGCACTGGCGTGGTTGTAATGGATAAATCAGACTGTACGTCTGCTGAAAGAATCATCCATTAGTGATGAGATGAAATTCGCACCGGTAAGCCTTGAGAGACCAAAAACACGAGGTAGACCTCCGAAGTTTTACCATCCATTACTTCAAAAGGAGAAGGAGTTGTCCTCGGCTGTACAAAGGATCCTACCCAAAAGCATCGCTGACTCAGTAGTCCAAAAGGGTTCTAGACTCGCACATCTTTACGGTCTTCCAAAAACCCACAAGAAGAAGTTAGCAATGCGTCCGATACTAACAGCCACAGGAACGTATAATTATAAACTTGCTAAGTGGCTGGACGAAAAGTTAAAGCCCCTGTCCGTCAACGAACATACCGTCAATGACATCTTTGTTTTTGCCGACGAACTTCGTGAAATGAAAATCAAAGACCATGAGGTTCTGGTGTCCTATGATGTATCGTCACTGTTCACTAATGTTCCAGTGGATGAAACTATCGAGAGTATCGCAGAGAGAGCCTTTGAAAATGACTGGTTTAACAGAGAGCATGATCTTAACATCACGAAGTTTGATTTGATAGAGCTGTGGAGAATCGCCACCAAAAATCAGCTCTTCCAGTTTTAAGGGAACTTGTACGAGCAAGTGGACGGTGTAGCTATGAGCTGGTCACTAGGTACCCTAATGGCAAACGCCTTCATGTGCAAAATCGAGAAACAGCTGGAAACAGAGAACAAGCTGCCTACCTTCTACAAACGTTATGTAGATGATACACTTAGCGTAATGCAGGATCTGACAGCAGCCTCAGAATTCCTGACGACATTAAACGAGAGTCATCCCTCTATCAATTTTACAATGGAGCTCGAAGAAAATGGCAAGCTTCCCTTTCTCGGAATGAATGTTATCAGGAATGGTTGCCGCCTAGACACCACGGTTTACAGAAAACCAACGGACACTGGACTTCTGCTACACTACCACAGTCACGTTGACGCCAGATACAAACGGTCACTCCTGAACACCATGCTTAACCGTGCGTTTAAACTCTCGTCTACGTGGAAGTTTTTTCACGAGGAATGTGAACGCCTTAAAGAGACCTTCTCCCGACTGCGCTATCCAGACGACCTTGTGCAGTCAACCATTCGCCAATTCATTGAATCCAAAGTGTCCGAGGATTCACACACCCAAGTGGCTGATAAAAGAGAAGCCCCAATCAGAATCGTGTTGCCCTTCAAAGACCAGAAATCAGCAAACGTAGTATGTAAACAGCTGGCTGACCTGAGTAGGAAGATCAACGCAGACATCAGCCCAGTTTACACAAGTAGGAAGATCAAAGATGAAATTAAGGTCAAGGAAGACAAGCCACCTCTTGTGAGTCAACAATGCGTGGTGTATTCTTTCCAGTGTAGCCTGTGTGATGCAGGCTATGTCGGCTATACGTGCCGACACCTACACCAACGAATTGAAGAAGACAAAGGATCGGCAATCGGAAACCACCTCAGAGAGCAGCATGATATGGAGCCTGAAGACATCGCACAAAGTTTTAGAATCTTAAGAAAGTGTCAGAACAAATTTGACTGCCTTATTTTTGAAATATTTTTTATCCAAGAACTGAAACCGATGCTTAACAAACAGTGCGATTCAATTCGTGCCAAATTATTTGTTTAGAGTAGTTCTTGTTAACATTGTTTTATTTCCATTGTTTTTTGACTTTATAAATATTTTTAGCACTTTTTATATTTTTACATATTTTATCACATTTTAGCGTTCACCACATTTTTATCTATTATAACTTGTTTTTAACTTTTTATGCTAATTTAGAGAACTTTTATACACTTGAAAATGACCTCGGAGAGGTCGAAACGTCGTGATTTTTTATCGCTAATATTTATCTCAAAATCATTTTTTTTTTCCACTCAGATTCTTAACTAGACTAGTAGAACAATTCTTAGTCTTGACTCGGTTTATATATGAAACTTAAACAATGATTAGCATCTTTCATCTTTCTATTGTTCGCCATCTTGAATGGTTTCCAAAGTGTATTTATGGCTTCCAGGATCAAGAAAAAAAATATATGACTTCCCAAATTGAAAACATTTAAGAGGTGGGTTGCCATGAATTTTCACGGAACCAAAAGTTGGTACAGGTGGATTCCCATGATCTCTGGGCATGGAAACAAAAAAAATTGTTATCCATGGGAATTGAAATCCTAGGGCTTGAAATACTGATTTAACCTGAGACTGACTTTACTGACACAGCGCAATGTATTATATAAATTGATATTTTGAGAATAGTAACATTTGTGTGTCATTAAAGTGAACAGCCGCAAAGAAGAACGTAGAAATATTTTTGAAGTTTGGCAAAATAAATTCTTGTAGTTTGGAGTACTTATTGGAAGTTTAGGCTAAATAGGTTCTTAATTAGGTTCTTAATTTTTATGAAGAAGGATACTGTTGTTGATTACAAGAAATTGCTCTAAATGGTATTTGTCCTCCATATTAGACATTTATTTACCAAAAGTCTAACAAAACTAGTTTAACAGCTAGAAGGTATATGCAGTTTTCAACAATGGTTGTTCACATTATACATTTATTAAATAATTATATCAAAATGTTTGTGAAAATGTAGTCTAACTCCACATATAAGAACCTGTTGATTTTTCTTGGCTAAACTGGTTCTTATATTTTGGAGTATTAAAATGACAAATTTCTGCCAGCAGGTTCTTAAAATTCCTAGGTTCTTCTCCACGGCATTTTACTGTATTTACAACAATGTGAAAAATATATATTTCAACTATAATATTATTGACTCTCACCACGATATTATGTGTATTACTTTAGGCATGATGTTGAGATCTCCAGCCAGGTCAGAGCTGCTGCACCCAAAGCACCATCAGTGTTTTATGCAACACCCACAGACATTCCAAAAACACAGCAGTTTGGTGTGTCATTATCATGGTATGTAATGACCAGGGCTGTCATTTAGTGCCGCAGGGCCAGCAATTTCCCCCTGCTACTATGAACATAGCCCCCGGCTACTACGAAAAATGAACCAAAAGAAATCCCTTGCTGTTTGATTACCCGCCTACTTGTTGTGTTTACCCGACAACTTGAAATCCTAGTGACAACCCTGAATGAAAGTTTAATTACATTTGTTGCTTTTTTGTAAGCCTGAAGTGATTGGTAAGTTAACCTTTTGTGACCCAAGAGTGACCAACATCACTTTTCTTCTAAAAATATCCATGTATCATAAAGAGAAATAGTTATGAGAATTAGTAAAATAAACATCAAAGGGAAAATACTTTGGTAAGTAATTTTTGAAGGAAATCTATCGGGACCGGTCTGGAGAATTTGTGTGTGGATGTTACAGGTCAAATTTGATTTCAGGTTAAAATTTGGAACCTACAATTGGCGACAAAATTAGTTGAGACACTTCGCCCTAAAGGGCTTGTGAAATGTTTTGCTAACTTAATGCTGTCCTACTGTTTGAGCTACACGTAGAAAACAACAAACACCCCCAACTTTGATTGGAGGGGAGGGGTGTGGATTGTTGTGTGTGCTGAAGTTATGCCATTTGAGGACATTGTCTCAACAATTTTGTTGCCAATTGTAGGTTGTTCTACACTGTATATTTCCTTTGTCTCCAAGCCCTACGAGACAAACGAAACTGAGAATCAACGAGGGTTAAAAAATTTAAACTTGACCTTAAGCCTGGATATCAGCGCTTGAAGGGTTAACTGATTTGTCTTTCAAGAGTAGTGTATAGAAACTCCAGAGAAATGATGACGAATGATGAAGAACATGTTAATGAGAAACTCCTCTCTTGTACATGTAATTTCAGTTTATAATATTTTCTTTCAAAGGTTTTTTGCACAAAAACATCAAGGATTACATTTTTTCTGACTTTTGAGAGAAGCCAACAACCTATTTGGTGATAAATTTGTGTTTTATCCTCTTTTTAAAAAAACGTGCTCATAATATTATAATAATTATCACTCATATGTATCTTTTTTGCCATTTAGTAGTCTGTTCAGACATCATGAAGATTGTTGATTGTTATCCTTTTCAGGATGAGAGAGAAAAACGATGGGGAGTGCATTCCACTTGTATTGTCAACATCAGTGACATTTTTACGAGAGTCTGGTAGGAATCATAGGCAAAGCTGAACAGATTATTTAGTCCATTGTTTTAGTATTTTTTCGCTTTTAACACATGCATTTTTGAGGCAAGATGTTGATTGTTGAAAATACAAACTGTTTACTTAATCAGAAACTTACTTAGTCACTATTTTCATAGTATCTTTTGATTGACAAAAATTTTTGATCAACTGTGTCACTTTTTAACATCAAAAATCTGGTAAGATAAATTATCAAGAGAGTTTTAAATAGCGAAATATCAGTTGATACTTCTAGGCTGTCTAGGGATCCATATCGGTCAAATCCAGCCAACATCGATGTCAGAATCTTCGCTCTTTGTTATAACTGTGTTGCCATCGTTAGTCTGCACTTACTTTAAACTTGAGGTTGCAAAGATGAAATATGCAAAGTCTTGTTAATCAAGCAAGAAACTGAATGAATTGAATGATTTTGTACCTTTTAGCTAATTCTTAGTATTTTGGAATAATTCTCATTTTTGGAGTAATTCTCTTGTCTGTTAGACAGGTCCTTTTATTAGTTAGGGGCATCTGATAAAATTGTAACAGCTTAGAGGGGGTGTTTATTAGATAAGAGGCATTTACTTGGAAGTGGACATTTATTAGGTCATTTATGGTACATGATTTTACCACCCCAACAGAATAAGTATTTACCCAGGGTAACTCTTAGAGGCACTCATCACACATTTAAGGCCACAGGTAATGGTACTTTACCCATACCTGTACACTGGGAATGGTTAATCTTAACATTCCTATTACATGCCTTTTGTAATTCCTCTTCTTCTGGGATGCACCCCTTGCCCCAAAGAAAGGTGTTAACCAGACCTATATTTAAAGGTTTTTTCTTAATATTAGCTCTAGAAGTTGAAGGGATTTTCAGAAGATCTGCCAACATGAAAACTGTTAAAGAATTCTGTGTAATGTTTAATGAAGGTTAGTGGTTTAGTATGAAGCATTTTACTTAACCACCGTTCACTGATAACAAAACTATGATACATGTAAGTAATGTTTTAATCATTTTCAACTTCTTTTGGACTTAGGTAAATGAAAGGAGGAAAATAATTATATCCCTTTAAAGTAACACAACACAACAACTTTGTTGTCGACGTGTTTAGCTAATGCAAGCTAATTTGGGTCAAAAAGGGAATAGATAAATAGTAAAGAAATGTACAGTTTACTAAAAGAAATGTCAATGGTAATTATAAAATGTGTTTATAAATTATTCTACAATGCCCTTAAATTTAAATATACAGGGAAATGCTAAATATATTTCTAAAATTCTTAAGAGCTACAAAGTATACGGAAGCTACAATTGTCGTTTAAAAGACCTACAAGGTTAATACTTCGTATCCTGGAGTTCAAAGATTTGTCTTTGACTTTACTGTCCAATCAAGACCCTATATATGGTCCAAAGTATTTCCTAGAATGTTTCCTGTAATATACAGTATTAAATCTAGGTGTATGAAAATTCCTTATTTCTCAAGTGATAGTTGGAACACACAATCTGTTAACTGTAACAACCAAATTGTCATGAAATCTGTGTCAAGTGAGTTCATTTTGTCAATAATGCAGTTGGCTTTACTGCAACTTGTTTCGAAACTATAGACCAATAAGATTCCAAATCTTCTTGCTAGTCTACTATAGCTTTTTATTCTAGATAAAATATGAGTGGGAGATATGTATGGGCATTTATAAGTGGTTACATAATTACAGGCAAAGATGTTAACTACAGTAACCCGGATGACATCCACTGTGCAGCAGTTATTATCAAGAGATTCTTGAGAGAACTTCCTGACCCAATCCTCACATTCAAACTTTATGAGACAATTATTACTAGCACAAGTAAGTGTCAGATTTCAATCCACAGTTTTCAAGTATTCCCAGATCTCTTAACTGGCAACCCACAAGGGGAACCCAATCATAGACCTGTCAATATGTTCATAACAGACTGCATTGAACAAAAGAGAAAAATTAAATGTGAAAAAGTGTCAGAGGCACACGGGACTTAAAATCAATCTGACTCTTTAAGAATCAGTGACCCCTTATCTTAACGCATTGTTATATCAATAAATGAAGGATGTCTACTCAGGAAGCTCTGTGTAGTTAATTAGATCAGTGAACTTCTGTGTTTTATTTATTTGAAGTTGTAATCTGCAAGGCTTTGTAATAGATTAAGGTTTTTGTTTTTAGTAGATATGTTATTTATGTACTTGTCCCCCTCCACGACTAGCTTTCCAGCTGTTTGCGTGGCAAGCTATCCAACCCCTGTATACAAAGAATAAAGTTGTTGTTGTTGTTGGAAATCAACAGAAATCGATGTATGACCTTCTCTTGACTAGTCCAGATATGATCTACCACTGATATACTTGTATAATTTATGGGAATCGTAAGAGTTAATGTCATTGAAGTAGCTTTGTGTTACGAACATCCTACATGCTGCTGGTATTGGAATGTCGGTAGGTGGCATAATTGCAAAGATGGTGAATGAACAGGGATGGGGTTTTTTCTTTCAAAGATGCATGCCACGCTGAAAGAAAAGCTAGCGGTATACACGATGTTTGTCTCACAAACCTATTTTAATGATAGTCCCCTCTACTAACTATGGTTTAATGGCCAAAGCTCGTACAAGTCCCGTAGTTGTCCATATTCTATGCCAACTTGTTGTGCTATTTAGGTTCTCAAGTTCGGTGCAATTATTGGTTGTGTTCGTTTGATGTTGATAATGATAACGATGTTCACGATGTTGATGATTATGATGATGGTGGAGGTGGTGGTGGTGGTGGTGATAATAATAGGGAATGTAAGTTCCAACGAGGCGACGACAAGAAGAACGTCTAGAAAACAATAGGTTTAATAAGCAAAACAACTACTTCGCACGTGCATCACGCTTTTTTGTTCTTTTCTTTGCCGTTTTTGCAAAACTATGACGTGAAGATACCTAATTTCGCGTTTTATGGAGAACGTAAACAAGCAGTGGCGAAATTTTCTCGCTCTGAACTTGGATATGGTCCCTTGGAATTCAAGTTCAGGAGGGTTCACCTACATTTGACAAAGTAAGTGGGTAGGAGTAATCGCGATAAAGACTGAAAGAAAATTATATTTTTTTTAGCGATATTCTTGTCGCCGTCGCGTCGTTGGATCTTAAGGTCTCTAATGATTATCCTTGCCCTGTTTTATCATATTTTCAACCATTTTTATTCGCTTTGCTGTATTTCTTCTGTAAGAAATTCCAGACGCAACAGAGAAACTGAAAGTGGTATGGTGCATTCTACACAATGAGCTACCAGAAGAGAACTTTGTTGTACTCAAATTTCTGATGGAGTTTCTTAATGAGGTATGGTCAGGGTTCTATTAAGGATTTATCGTTTGGGGGAGAAGTCCCGGATCATTTTAACTTTCTGGGAAACTGCACACCTACCCCTCCCCTAAGCCAACATTTTACCTTAAGGGAGAAGTAAGTATAAATGTTGGCTTAGAGGTAGGTGGGCAGTCTCTCAGAAAGGTAAAAGGATCCCACGTCCCGAGTGGCCGAAGGCCACGAGCTTCCTGGGGGGGTCCGGGGGGCATGCCCGCCAGGAAAGTTTTTTTAGATGAATATGCGCTGAGATGATATCTGGTGCATTTTGAGCACAATTTTGAGAAATGTTACAGTGTGTGCACCGACCTCGTCGCGTTTGGATGATTTTTATAGTTACTGATATACCTGATTGAAAAAACGTTGTCGCTCAAAAGTATAAACCATGAACCCCATACTCCGCACGGGAGTTAATTTCACCCAAAGACTTGACCACATAACGTGAAAAAAAATTAAATGATAACTCCACATTTGTTAATTGGTGTTAGCGACGTGCTGCTTGAGTGATACGGATTTAGAAAGGTAAGAGTTCTTCGTCTACCATTCCTTGTCGAATTGGAGTTTGGAATTGTCAAGAGGCAGTCGCGAGTACCAATACATGTGTACGAACTCTTCATTGCTCTACTAGGCCGTTTTCGGTGACCTTTTTTCCCAACAGATCATCGAGCGCTTATTATAAAGGGCGGCCATCATAGTTTTAGTAATAAAATGAATAAATAAATAAGTGAATTAATAAATGTCGATTTAGTGGCAGCACTGTAGAAACACAGTTTAGCAACGTCTTTATTGTTTCAGGTCTTGGATTATTCCGCTGTAAACAAAATGACGGCCATGAATCTGGCAATTGTGTTTGGACCGAACATTCTTTGGTCCAGATCTCAAGCGGCTTCATTAGAAGCCATGGCACAGATCAACTCTTTCACCCTTCTGTTGCTGGAAAACGTCAGTTATCTGTTTGGAACCTCTTGACCTAAAAGTGCTGTATTGCATTCTTGGAGTAAACTTTATGACTCTGCGGGCTTCTTCATGAGAGTAGTAGAAGAAAAAAGCAGTTCTGGCACGCCCTATCATTTATACCGATAGGTCTTTTTTGTCCATTAAGATAACTATCATTTCAAACAGTTTACTCACTCACTTGTCTTCGGATATAAGTAGATGTACATGTTTAAATTATGAAACGTTGTAACGGGAGTGTACGTAAGAATTATGCTTCATGGAGTGCAAATGCTGGACATTTCGTGTTTAAGGCGGAGGAATATCAGAAATATTATCAGCTCGACATTAAATGTGGATCACCATAACAACACAAATGCTGTAAGATTTGCGTTCTTGTCTATCTTGGTGCTGAATTTAGTCAGATGTAAATACAGTACTGTTCTACGTATGTTTTTCTTTGTTCACACCGAGGGTCGCCCAACAATCGCCTCTTATTGAGCTGGGAAAATAAAGTTTAAAGTCGTGAAATTCTTATTTTGTGACTTGTTCAGCTGTTCTCACCGATTGGGAACGCATGCGCTGTTAAAGTAATACACGGTGTCATAAAATGGCGAAAGCAATGTGGCCTCCCACCCTGACACTGTGCATCCCAACACCCACCCCCTTGGTACATTTTAACTCAAGGTGGCCTTCTGTTCTCGCATCCAGCGTTCAAGGCGAAACAAACGAGAAGAACACCCAATTTTAACACGACCACGCAAGAGAAGATATATGAAAGCTGCTAAAATTCGACCTGATCTCTGAACAGCGACAATCCTGTGGGAAAATCTTTTACCCGCCCTTCTTTTCTCTCACGGCTTAAATTTGTTTAGTTCTTTTTAGGTTAACGTTATTTTTCCAAGGGAGATTTTCATTTCCTTCTTTTTGCAATTTCGTCTATTAGTTTATGATTATCTTCTTGATTTCCACGGTTTCTTCGAAAATTAATTGTCGCTCGTAATTGCCTCACAGTTTAGCTTTTTTTTAAAGTAAAAGTTATTTTACTTCGTTCTTTTTCCCCTTTCTCTTCATTTGCTTATTAGTTTAATTGCTTGTCTACTTCAAGACATGAAGCGCTAAATTCCTGGGCTTAATTAAAGTAACTTTTTTTCAACTTTACAACTTTTCCTGGTTTAATAGAATCGTTATATTTTAAATAGTCTGTTTCAATTTCTTATTCACTCAGAGATGAGTTAGGGGGAAACTAAAACAGCGCCCGGAGAGCGGCCTGATCTTAGGTTACCAGTTACAGTAATGGCTTGACCGCGACAAAACAGTGGGAAAAAAATGAGAGCGGTCCTATTCAGAAAATTTAATTTAATATGAAAAGTTTAGCAGAAAGCTTCGCGTAGAAGTTAGGGGTTATGGGAACTCAGAAATCGCCTATTACTTGACGGCGATCGCGAAAGCTCAGAAACGTGCCTTCAAGATTTAAACGTTTTTCGTGAAATCTGCCTTGATTAGCTCAAGCCAATGAAATACCGTAAATTCCGAAAATAAGCCCCTCCTTGTATAAGCCCCTCCAAATATGAGACCCCAAAACGGTAACGCAAAAAACCCTTCATTAAATCGCCCCTCCAAATATAAGCCACCCGGGGGCTTGTATTTGGAAAATTGCCCTCAAATACTAAGTAAAACAAAGCGAAAAACGATAAATTTACTTCCAACTGTAAGGCTGGCCCAATCAATTTTGAAACGCAAATTTCCCTCCGTAGATAAGACCCTCCAAAAATAAGCCCCTCAAAAAAGGCCTTTGAAAAATATAAGCCCTGGGGCTTATTTTCGGAATTTTACGGTAGTGCTTAACTCCTGTCTGTGAACATCCTGGGAGACCCAGGGGCGGTCAGGAAACTCGGGGTTAAAGGAAATCTCTTCAGTCGCAATGGATCGGGAAAATAAACACACAGCAAGCAAAAACAAGTAAAGTAAATAAGGTAAGGAGTATTTCATTGAAAATTCTAGCGAGTATTTATCTTCTTGTCTCTTAATTTTACCTGAATTCCCATACAAGACCATACAAATCCTTTATGTTCACGGCCATTTTTAAGGATTACGCAATTTGAAACCACTTGTCTTTATCATTAAACTCTCATACTGCGCTTGGATTGGCTGTTGTTCATTATGATGCTCAATCAACATCAAATTATTTATTGACCATTATCGAGTTTAACTGAGATAATAAGCGTCTTTTATAAATTTTCAAACATTACTCAGTTCATTAATTTCGCTTTGTTCACAGAAAAAGTGGCTTTAGTAAAAAATCATAAGATAAGCTTAATCGGACCTAAGCACCGTCTCTGGCTGCGGAAACGAAATCCATATGAAGCTATCCTCGCAATGATACAGGTAAGAAACGGCGAGTCGTAATTCAACCCAACTCAAAGCAACTCTGATGAGTTAATGCTACAAGAAACTAGCCCTGCTCGAACTATTTTTCGTATTCCTTCCGCCGATTTTCACTTATATTAAACCCCTTATAAATACCGTCTGGCGTGCGAAAACCGAGTCGCAAAAACGAGAGATGATAGAAGATGTAATGTATCAACAATCTCGCACATATTCATCTCTGTACGGTTTTTCAACCCTGCAGAGTTATTCGTAGAGGTATTTCAGCCCAAGTAACGATAGAAGTTTCTGTGATGACGCCATGATCGTGTCCCACAGAACATCTGTTTCACGGTTGTTTCTTAGTTTAAGCGACACTAAATAAAAATTAAGAGAGTGCTTAAATAGAGACTGAATCCGGTCAAATCATAAGTCGTGTGGTCATTTTATACCCACTTAGGGTGAGCCACCATTTTAAATTTCGAGCGACGCGAAGACCTAATAGAAATTCAAACGTGATTCCTAAACGAAAAATCATATTGACCTGAAAACTTTTAAAAACTAAGATAAGTTTTTAGGAAGTCCTGTGCCTTCAGTATTGAACCATGAAACGTAAAAATCAAAAGGATTGATGATAAATTGTATTTCGTATTTCAAAATGTGATGCAAACCAGCGAGGAGGTAAAAATGCTTTTAGTTCAGTTTATCACTGTAACACTTCACTGAGTTAGATGATGGGATTACTAGAGGATAGCTAAAATATCATAAAAAAGAAAGTTCGATGCAAATATCACAAGGGCTTAACTAAAGTCTACGAATCTGATAAGAGAGCGTCTAATCGTCCAGTAATTGTGAATTTTTTTGGCTGCCCGTACGCAAATGTTTAAAATGGAAAAGCCGAGATTATCAGTGATAAACCATATTTTCAAGCAGAAAAATAATTTACTTTAGCATCTAAATGAGACATTCTTGGCAGAAATTTAAATTCCTTTAAACTCCTGTAGTGTTTCCCCTATTTTTGTAAAAGGCAAAGTTTAACTGCTGTCACAATTTTCGTTTTAGTCTAGATATTTGTTAACTTTTACTGTTTAAGTGACCTGAAATTATACGCCATCTTCTTTATGCTCGTGTACCCCCAGGGAGGTTAAAAACCTCACATGTCTACCCCCACTAAGTACATGTATCTTTAACAATATTACATATCAGCTCTTTGTTTCTCCTTAACCCAGTACCTCACTGCTACCCTCTCTGGCACTTTTTTTCATTGTGCTGAACGTGTAATATTTTCGCGTTAAACCTTATTATTTGGACGTGGCCCAAATAGAGTAATCGAAACGGCTTGTTTTGACGCAAAAGTGCCATAGGCACGCAATACGTGCTAACGTAAACAAGGAAGTAAACAAGCGAAGCGACACTACATATTATATAAAACGTGTCTTCGGAATCTCACGCAAAATGTAGTTTTTTATTTGGGCGTGGCCCAAATAGAGTAATGGAAACGGCTTGTTTTGACGCAAATGTGCAATAGGTACGCAATACGTGCTAACGTAAACAAGGCAACTAAACAAGCGAAGCAAGGCGAATGTCTGCCATGCGAACGTCTTGTACAAGGTAAGAGGCATGTGGGAAAGAAAGCTCTGCTTGCACACGGCACTTAATCGCACTTTTACGATCTCTAAAGTTAATCTGAATCTTCAGTATTTTTGCCTCATCGAAATTTGGAAGTCTGAAGTCCAGGGATGAAATCTATCAAAAATATTTGGAATATTAACGTCGGGTTTTGGTCACACCCAATTGATCGCAAGCAACGAACCTTGGGCGCGATCCATTCAACCAAAATTCCAACCGGTCCGACCGGGAAAATTGGTCCACCTCAAAAGGAGGACCCATTTTTTTCGAAACTTTTCTGGTTGGACCGAACCGATCCATTGAGTTTTGGACCGAAATTTCCGGAAATTTTGGTCGAATGGATTGCGCCCCTTGAAACACAGAAACACAAAAAACGGATCGAAATCCACCAATCACAAATCATAAACAATGACCTTTTGAACCCGTTGAAGAAAACTTTCGTTTCCTAAGAGGTCCGCTAAGATGATTGACGTCTGACATTTTTTTGACGAGAGGATCGAAATGCACCAATCATAGAAAGACAGTTTTAATTGCATGTTTCCTAAGAGGTCATCTGAATTTGCTGTTTTCTTTATTTTATGTCCATTTTTTGTGATTGGTCGATTTTGTTAGGTCGAGTGGATGATCCAATGAGGGACGATTTGGATATCGTTTGATCCGAAATTTTTCGAAGCAGCAGTGAGAAGCAGTTTGGATAACATTTGGCCGCGGCGTTTCGGGGGACGTGCTAATATATTGTTCAATCATGTTATCCCGGGTTAAACTTACAAATGCGCAGACTGTTCGCGGTAGGCCCACACTAAAAAAATAACACTGAGTGTTTTCGGAATGGGCTGGTCCGCGAACTCAAAGACAAGACATTCAATGACATGAAAGACTCATGGACCCCATAGACGTAATAACAAATCGGAATGTCAGGAGTGTACGTGTAAAATGGATAAGAGTTTTAACAGAGGAATAGGCTTCTAAGTAAGAATTTGCCTCTCTGTACATGTAATTATCCGTTTTATAGTGCTTAAAATAGTTTGAATCACCGGGTTAATTTTGGCCAATTTAAGCTTTGTACTGATATAGAGAAGAATCCACGACCTTCAGTTATGTAGATTCTACAAAAATAATTAATGCTCCATACGGTCAAGGAAGTGTTGCAGGATTTGGGGAAAATGGTGGACAACGTTGTGTCGCAATGAGTCTGTGCACTTTAATTTACAGTAAGATAACATAGATGACTTCAGTTGATGATATGACTCAAATAATGATTGTTGGTATTCAATTATATTCTTGTCTGTCACTGCTTGCAAGACAATCTATGTCAATGTTAACAGAATTGCCATGAATGGTTACAGTGTTTAAGCAATTTTTCCACCTTGAATACAGTGACAGTTATACTTGTAACATCCATCACTACTGTATATGCCACTCACAGGTTACAGCATTTCAAACACTCTTGACACTGAACTACAACTCATTCATTTTAACGGTGGCAATTATTGGTGTTGGTGTCTACAGCACTGAGGCTGGGGTATATAATGTATTTGATTCTCATGCTAGAGATATGTATCATAACAGTCATAGTGAAGGGACATGTGTATTGTTGGAAATACCATCCATGCATAAATTAGTACCATATTTTCAGACTCTGCATAGGAATGAGGATATATATGTACTTAAAGGGGTACATATTGCCACCTTTGAACCTCATCTTTTCTCAAGCAATGTTGAAAATTGTATTATATCAAATGTTAATAGTTACCAATGTTCCTGTAAACAGTGCTGCCCTATAGCAGTTTATGCAATGTGTTACTCTCTTATTAATCCTTGTGGATACTGGACTTAAGGAACTTTATTTGCCCTTGTTAGTAACCGGAATACACTGTACAAAGTTATGGGTGTGAAAACACATCTGTCAGTATCAGTGGAGCTGAGATAAACCTTACTCTCCGGGCTGTAACCACTTATGTCCTATGTTGCAATTTGGTTCCAAGCATGTCTGCATTGAAGATGTGCATATTTTCAAACATTGTCGTGAAATGACACTATTTTTGTTGTGGATTGGGTCATACTGTATAAGCTGTGTGGTTCAGCAAACAAGTGGAGTAAAGGATTTGTCTTCTCTGGTAAGATATGATGACCGTTCTTTAGCTGCAATAAGGCATGTTCAAAGTATGATACCCGTAGTACGACCACGCTCAAATATACGCTCACACAGCGTCTTGTTTTTTATCCTTAACACTCCCAGGCGGTTCATAAAAACACTCTTTTAATATCTCCAATTTGAACTTGAATATGCATCACCATATTGACATATGCAGACTTTAAAATTAGAATACGCTCCCACGAAAAACCTGAAAACTTAGACAGCACGTGATCAAAACATGTTCTTACGGCGCCAGAAACGTTGTCAATTTCAAGAGAGAGACTAACCGACAACGTTTCATTGGCCAAAACTGACAGGTTGAAATGTGAAACTACGCGCAGAATTCGTCGCCCTTCAAGGATGGCAAGTGAGCCAATGGGTGCCTTCCATTTACGAAAAAAAACCGGAAATTTCGGTGGCAGCAAAAGTGAAATTTCCGATTGGTAAAAAGTTGTTCCATTTGGTCGTAAACCCCGGTACGTGGCCGGGTGCCCGACCGTGGACCTGGAACTGGTACAAACTACGAGAAACGTAAATGGAACACGACATTCCGTTCGGAAATTCCAACCGGGAAAACGGGACCACCTTTTTAGATTTTCCACTTTTTCTGGGAATTTTCCAGTGGGACGAACCGACGAAACGTGTTCCATTTACCGCCGAACCGGAAATTCCGGAAATTTTGACTAAATGGAAAGCGCCCAATGATACCATTTGATCCGAAATTTTTCAAAGAAGCAGCAAGAAGAAGCAGTTGGGATAAAATTTGGCGAAGGTGTTTTAAGTGACATATTGTTGAAGTATGTTATCGAGGGTTAAACTTACAAATGCACAAACTGTTTGCGGTAAGCCCACACTAAAATAACACTGAGTGTTTTCATAATGGGCTGGTCCGTGAACTCAAAGAAAATCAAAGGAAATTGTCAAGACATTCAAAGAGCATGGACCTCATAGACGCAATGACAAATCGGAATGTCAGGAGTGTACGTGTAAAATCGATAAGAGTTTGAACAGAAGAATGTGTATCAAGTTTGAGAGTCGCAAGATTTGTGTAGGTGGTAATCGGTGTGACAATAGTGATTTTGATTTTCACAATGTGGAAAACGAGGAGTTGCCTGTGATAAAAATCTCTTCCGATGAAGGAAGAGAAGGTTGTCAACAATTGAAACCAAAAGGGACTCAGGCTTCTTTGGGAACTACGTTGATAGCGGTAACAATTCTCCTTATTCTTTCAATTTTGCTTAGCAGAGTGACTGTTATAATCTACTTGTTTTGCATTATCAGCAAGAGACTCAGTGTTTTGATGTCAGTGAGGTGACGACAAGAAAAGGTAATAATTCAGTTGTACAGAATGAAAATTGTTTGTGGAGGAAATAAAAGAAGTTGAATTGAGATCTTGTCGTGGGAAATTTATTCATAACAGAACTTACAATCCAGTTGGTTAGTCATTTTTCTCGACGCGGTCGTGCACGAAGCAGACTACCGATGAAGAAATTAAAATCTTTGTTAAAGAAAACACGGAAAGCGAGACTATTTGTATGGAAAGAAATTCTGAAAATACACCATTGTCGTCTAAAATTCATTGCTACGTTATTAAAAAATAGAAATTGTTTGTACTTACACCGGTACAGAGGTAAGTGTAAGAGTGTGAGGTTTTTACTAGGGGCAAGTCCAAAATTAGTTCGAAAACAAGGGAAGGTTTATCTGTTGTCTAAGCATAAAAGAAGAGGCTATTTAGGTGTGGTGAGGTATGAAAATAGGGTTTTAAGTAAGTCTTTGTCCCTCTGTACATGCAACTATCCATTTTATGATGCTTACGAGAGTTCGATTCATCGGGTTAATTTTGGCCAATTTGAGCTTCCTACTGATATCCAGAAGAATCCAGGACCTTCATTTTATGTTGATGCTACGAAAACGATTCATGCTCCATACTGTCAAGGAAACGTTGTAGTATTTGGGGGAAATGCGGGACAACATTGTGTTACAATGAGCTTGTGTGCTTTAATTTACAGTAAGATAAGAAGGATTACTTCTGTCAATGATATGATTCAAATAATGACTGTTGGTAGCCAATTATATTCTAGTCTGTCATTACTTTCAAGACAATCTATGTTAATGTTAACAAAATTGCCAGAAATGGTTACAGTGTTTGAGCGATTTTTCCAGTTTGAATACAGTGGAAAGTTATACTTGTAACATGCATGGTTATGCCAGAATTGAGGGGTATCACTACTGTATGCCACTTGAAACATTCTTGGCTCTGAAGTACAACTCATTCATTTTAACTGTTGGAATTATTGGTGTTGATTCTCATGCTAGAGATATGTATGGTAACAGTCATAGTCAAGGTACATGTGTATTGTTGGAAATGCCATCCATGTATAATTTAGTACAATATTTTCGGAGTCTATATACATATAAAGTGTTTTCACATGACGTCACGGCGGCCATATTGGTGTCCCAAAACAATGAAACGGCGGCCATGTTGGTGCCCCAAACGGGTCCTGTGGGAGTTGAACTCTTTTCTTATGCAAACGTTTTCTTTTGTTCCAATAAATTTGCATAGATGCTGGCCACGTGAGTGAAAACACTCTATATAAATGAAGACCAGGGTAGATTTCCCCTCATTGGAAGCAAGATGTCTACCGAGCACCAACTCCGTATACACTTCTTCTCGATTTTCTTCATAGTTGCACTCATTTACCAAGAAATTGAAGGTATGAACGACAGCAAAATTGATGTTTTGATGTTATTGAAGAACTGATTCATACATACATGCTCGTAAAATGTTGATTTAGTGATGAACAAAGACGAATCTTATTTCACGAAGGAAGAAATATCGTTTACAAGAAGTTACTTTTTAATTTAACACAGTATCTTTATGGGTAGAAAATGTCCAATAGTCGTACAGTAATACTTAACAGGGCTGAAAGCGAAGCTCTCGATAATATTTGTAGTTTGTTCAAACAAAAATAAAAACGTGTAATGCTAAGCGGCGAAGGCAACGCCGAAGAACGGTGAAAAAACAACAATAGGTCTAATTAGCAAAAAAGCAACTTTGCACGTGCAGCACACTTTGTTTGTACATTTACACTTTGCCGTTGTTTTGCACGACTACAACGTGAAACTTCCAGAAATTTTTTTTCACTGCCGCTCATTCTCTCCTTGCATTCGTGGCTGCTAGCATTTCTCATTTTTGTCACCGCCGCTACAAAATTTTCATTTGTTCTTCCAGCAAAAAAATGTGTCCTTTGCTTTTTATCTCACTTTAGATCTTTGTCGCCCTTTTTCTCGTTGAGTTTCGCTGGTCTGCCGCCTACTTTCTCTTTTTTCTCTGTTTTTCTCTTGCTTTATATTCCAAATTTGTGGACGTGACAATTAATCTAAGCTTAATGCTTTAGAAAACACGGATACAGAAACAATTTCCGCTTTCCGGTTTCGTCTTTCATCGACTCTTTAGCTGCCTCTGCTTTACAAGACGCGGGCGGCTATGCGATTTCCCGCCAAAATAACCCCGAGTTGCATTTGGATTGCCATACCTGTTGATCGAGTTATTTTACATTGGTATGCCAGTGGTGCGGACGGACGGTCGGGCGTACGGTCACGTGATTACCAAATTTTCTTGGATGGGTAGATTAGCACATTTTCTTTCCCATGGTGCTCCGCTGCGTGCGCTTCACGCGCGAGAGCTCCGCTAATATTTTGTTCTTGTTTGTACTACAGGACTCAGCTTCAAAGCAGGAAAATTCCATGTGACCACAACTTTGAGTCTGTTTGCCTGTAAGAATGTTTCTTTTGAGGAGCCTTTTAACGGTGGACAAGAAATCAAAATCTTCATTTCTAAAAGCCATGCAACGAAAAGTTCTACTAGTGGAAATGGCGCAGCAATTTGGGTGGAATCTGTGAATAACAAGGCATTTACTGTCTGTGTTTTGGAGTACGGAGATGGCTCAAGTGGCAATTCGCAAGTGAACTGGATGGCGCTGCAATCTGTACCTGCTGGCCCTCAACTAGGCACAGCTTCTTTAAACTCCTGGACTACGGGGACAAAGTGTGAAAGGATCGCTTTTGAAAAGGTTTGATTTGTTCAGTTCATCATTCTTTTAATTTCATTTCGTTTGCCTCCGATGAAAAAAAAATCTTTCTGCCTCTTCTGCTTTACACTCATTATTTCATATGTGCATTTATGAAAAGTGCTAGAGTCATGAGTTTCACCATTTTTGACAACGTTGTTGTGGTTGCTATTGCAGCCCAGATGGTGTTACATGTTTTCTTAGTATTACCCTGTTATGTCATCTTACATTTTTCTGTGTTTGTCATATTTTTTGAAGAGATGAAAAGTTTGATTGATTGACTGGGATAAGCTCACAAAATAATGTTAATATTATGGGGTATGGCACCTCTGGGAAACCGTGACGTCATGTTTTATGATGTGGCGGCCATATTGCTTGCCATCTTGGGTTTTACTTAAAATTCATTTTTGCTAAAATTTGTTTTCATGGCATAAAAAGTGAGAATTAAGTTTGAAGTATGCTATAATCTAATATGTTTATATCTGTAGTTTTTTTTACAAAGAAAGTAAGGCGCATTTTTCTTAGAAGTCGCTTAGTCTTGTGCTATTTATGACGTCTTATCTTGCTACCATAGCAACCTTCCATCACCAAATTTTAGCGGAATGTGGCTAAGGAATAAAATGAGCAGTTACCGGTAAAGAAAGTTTTAGGCTCAAAATCCGTTTTTGAAAATATTGGCCAAAACCTGTCCGTCTCAACCACTTCAGTAGTTAAATTTTAAGTTGTAAGTATTCAATCTCTTTCTTGTTCTTAATTTGTTTTCACAAAAAAAAAACAAATTAAGAACAAGAAGGAGATAAGCAGGGGTTTCGTTTCAGGCTGGACGCCGGACGCAACGTCCAGTAGTTGACACACGAAATAATTATTTTTTAAGCGTCGTTTTTTCCATTTATTAACCAAAGAAAGACTTGACCCTTATTTTACTCACTTAGGTATGTAATGCATACAATCGAAAAAAAAAAACGGAGAGATAATTCCTGTCATACACATGTATAATAAAATCATTATTCATCATTCCCCATCCCTTCCCCCCTCCCCTGCCAGCTATAATAATTGACCAGACAAGTTCGCCGACAACTGACCCTGATCTTTGATAAGAGAGCTAACATTTGCAAACTGATAATTATAATTGCCAAATCAGTCAAATATTTCTTTTTTTGTGAGCATTTATTAACGCCGTAAAAGACCTTCCCGGTTACCCAATTCCGGTCCAGGGAACACAGGAAATTGCATTTTAGAGCGTCCAATTTTTACAAATTTCCCGGGGAGGCATGCCCCCGGACCCCCTCTAGGAGTTCGCGTTCAACGTTGGCGCCAACGGTGTACGTCCAAATGCTACCAAAAACCCTGGATAAGAATGAAGGAAAAGAAATAGAGGAGCAAAGATGGGGCTTTAAAGGACCCGAAAGAGTAAACTGATTCAGCTAAAGAAGAAAACAGATAAAAATTTTGATCCAGAAAATTAAACAACTTTTGAGAAATAAGTGGGTCAAGTAAAATTATATATTACCAACATCGAAATTCATTGATAAAGTAACAGGCTGATTAAAAGATGGCAAATAAATTTACGGTTGAAGAAACTGAAAAAAAAAAAGTAAACAGTAGTTTATGTCAGGTAGATTCATTTAATATTTCTCAATAAGGACGACTAAATTTTACTTAGAAACACTTAGAAACTTTAAAAATCAAGGAGATGTCGAAAAGTCAAAAGAAGTAAATACCAAATATTGTTTCAGAAGAAATATAGAGGATTATATTGCTGATAAAGGTAAAAAGTCTGGCGCAGACTACCTTGCTCATTTTTGATGGAAAACTTTTAATTATTCATTCAATAAGATCTCACGTTTTGATTTTCATTTACATTTCTTATCGATATTAGATAAATGTGATTTTATAAATTAGCACTCTGATCAAATCGTTCCTTTATTTATTTGTTTTTTCTTTTTTTCGTGTTTCTGTTTTTGACCCTTCCACTTTTACAAAGCAAGTATAGTTACAAAAACATTCAAATTTCCGTATGCAAAATCCTAATAAATAAATTGTACTTTTGCAAAGGTCGAATGACAAAGAAGATCCATATATTTGAATGGAAACACTATGGGTCTTCGCTCACAGATTATGTTAGCGAATAAAATTATCTCGCCGTAATTTGGTCTACCAGTGAGGTTCAACCTCGTTCCTTGGACGAGATTGAGTGAGGTGGTCACTGTTTTTCGTAAATAGCTATTTTATTTAACGCGCCAATGTATCATCCCTGGATCAGCAACAGAGCTGCTTTATAGGGCAGACATATTACCTTGAACACTCCCCTGCATTATCTTTGTTAGCTGAAAATATACATATTTTATAATTATGGATGATAATATTTCTCTACTTTTTCTTCTTCTTTAGCTTTTCTTGGCTCTTCCAAATATCATGGTTACAGCTCGTCACCAGGTTCTCAAAAGGCCTCAAGACGCTTTGGCCGAGTGGGCAGAAGACGTCCGCAAGGACAGCTTTAAACTTTGTGCCAGAGAAACTAAGATTTTTGATGGAATTCATAAAAACATCAAAGTGGTGAGTAATATTCCAGTTACGTGATTTCTTCAGCTAAGTCTTGTTCTGTTATTAGTGGTGTCTTTAAACGTGACAGAACAAATTTTATCTACTGTAAAGCTGGCAATTTCATAAACAAGATTCAGATTGTTTTCTGTCTTTTTTTTTTTTTTACATCTTAAAAATGGTTGCATCAGTTGCATCTAAATTGATATTTAACCATATTGAATTTAGGGTTTTATCTGATTCCTTGCACTGCTTCTCTTTTTGTTATGAAACCTAATATCTTAATTTCTAACCGAGTACAAAGTTTATTTTTAGTATCATTTAAGAGCACATTTAACTTAATTCATATTTGATATTTAAAACCTGTCTGAGCCTTAAATTGTTAGTACAGTTTATCAATTAACTTTGAGAATCTATCACTTGTTTCCCTCCTGTTACGTTGCACAACCCATACTTTGTGTACTCTACACGACTCTTCGAGAAGACCACATCTTAAGGTGGCTCGACTGGATTTTTTTGGGGGGATACCTCCCAAGTTTGAGCATTAACTACGTCGCCATGAGTAAAGATATGGGAAAAAGATTACCACAACTGTATTATATAAAGATGAAAATTTCTCATGATCTGGGTTTTATTGCAATCGGAGTCACCATGGCAACGTAACAACGTGATTACATTTTTTATTTATCTTTGTGTTTCTCTGTTTTTTTACCAAGGTTTTTTTTAATTGCCTCAATTATGGCAAAGAAAAATCGAGAGCTTTTTCGAGGGAAGTTTGTACCTGCCATAATTGCCTCCCAATTGATGGCAAAGTTATCGAAAAAAGGTTACCACAAATTCTAAAGATGAAAATTTCTTAAGATCTGGGTTTTATTTTCGAGATATTTTTTCAAACTGTAAGTTTTTGAAGCATCATAAAAACAGTTTGAAATATGCATTTTCGAAATATTTCGTAATATCCACATCAAAGCAAAATAGCTAAATTTTTAATAAATGATAATGATAAGCTTTGGAAACGCGGCTTCATCTCATAGTGGTTTGATTCCATTAAAAACTGCGTACAAAAAAAGATTGTTTTCAAGGGAACTCTCGATTACTTTCCGAAGAAATATTGCTATGGGCGATCGCGAGTAAGAAGAATTTTATTAACTTTCATCAGCTGCTTTTGTTAAAGTTTTTGCACGTAATTTGGTCCATGCCTACAAATTTGGCATTTTTCAAAAAACCGCTCGATAATTTTTTTTATAAATTTGACAATCCCGAAATCAATTGCCAATAAACATACCCTGCAAGTTTCAAGACATTGAAAACAGAGAAGGCTTTTAAATAGGGACTCAAATATAACCAATTTTCCCCCCCAGGTTTTGTGTTTACAAGTGAGCGTCCTCATTATTCACTGGCATTGTTTCCAAGTTTCATATGCACGTGCACATTTGGCAAAAAGAAATAAATTTGCATCAAAAGGAACTCTCGATTAATTTCGGAAGAAATATCCGGAATATGCTAATAATTGGCTGGTGTCACAGATAGCAGTGAGAGCCGAGACGGTGAACGTCACGGCTCATCGTGTAAGATGCAATACTTAGTTATCTTACTCGGGTTATAATTTCACAGAAACTCTTACAAAGAGTTGATGTGATGTTATAATATATCACTAATTTCTTTACCCGGTTATTAGCATATTCGGGAGATTTAACCGAGGGTCCTTTTTGATGCAAATTCTATCTCTTTTCTAAATGTGTACGTGCATATGAAACTTGGAAACAATGCCAGTGAATAATGAGGACGCTCACTTGTAAACACAAAATCTGTTTTTAATGTTCTTAAAATTTGCAGGGTATATTTATGGACGATTGATCTCGGGATTGTCAAATTTATATAAAAATAAATTTATCCAGCGGTTTTTTGAAAAATGCGAAATTTGTAGGCATGGACCAAATTACGCGCAAAAGCTGTAACAAAAGCAGCTGAATGCAAGTTACTTAAATTCTTCTTACTCGCGATCGCCCGGAGCAATTCTCCTCTTTTTTCGTAAGCAGTTTTCAATGGAATCAAACCACTATGAGATGAAGCCGCGTTTCCAAGGCTTATTATTTTCTTAAAAAATTAGCTAATTTTGTGGATAGCATGCTATTTCACTGTTTTTATGATGCTTAAAACTTCGTTTCAAAATATCTCGAAAACGTTCTCATAGAATTTGTTCAAACTTTGCCATAATTGAGGCAATTATGGTAAGTACAAATTCCTTTAAGCGATTTCTTAAAAAAAAAACTCTTGGTACAGAGAACACAAAGATAAATTAAAAAAGTAATGGCGTCGTTACGTTGCCATGGTGACTCCGATTACAATAAAACCCAGATCATAAGAAATTTTCATCTTTATATAATACAGTTGTGGTAATTTTTTTCCCATATCTTTACTCATGGCGATGTAGTTAATGCTCAAACTTGGGAGGTATCCCCCCCAAAAAATCCAGTCGAGCCACCTTAAGAGTTTTTTTAATGCTTTGGCACCAAACAGGTTAAAAAAAAACTTTACATCAGTCTATTTCAAAATGGCTTGGCTTCATGTCATTTATTACGTCATACTTTGTACCAGTAGCAACCTTTTGCAACGAAATATTGCCAAAGTATGTCATATTAATAAAAAGTTAATGCCAGAGAAGACGTTCTGGCTCAAAACATTTTTCCAATCCCAACTCCCCCTACTTCTACATCTCAGAGTTAAAATAATATTAAATGAGTGGCAGTTGCTGGACACCCTTAAGTTACTTTCTTCTTGGTTTGAAAGCGTAACTTGAACGGTAAGTAAGAAAAAGTGCTAAATTTATAAGCGTCACATTCTAATTTCATATCTTTCCTTTTTTCCTGCAGGATTGGATGGCTTTTATCAAATTGTAGACTGACAATTTCACCTTGACTGATAGTCTCGTGTTTACAAACAACAACTCACCATCAAACAAGCAGGACAACAGCGCTGTCTGTCAGGTATATTGTCAAGTTTCATGGTGTTCAACTTTTCTTCTTTCCTCTGCTTGTTTTTGTCATTCAAATTATGGATTAGGTAATATCTTTGAATAATTGTATCCTTTCAAAAGAAAGTCTCATTTTCCACTTGTATTTAGTTGGTAGAAGGACTGACTCAGAAAACAGATGTTAACATTTTATATTCTTTCCTGGAGAGAAGCTATCTATTTAAAATGAGATTTTATCAATATCATTTCTTTTGTTCTCTTTCAGGTAGTTAAGTTCCAGGATGCATTTTATATCCCTCCGGTTGTAATAATGTCACCAACACTTGGTTACAATAACAACAAATCACGTTTCTCAGGATCCAAACCATGTAACTTAGTTACTGCCTGGGTTGAGGTTAGAAATATATAGTCTGCGTATTCTTATCGTGGTTCTAATGAGGAGAATTTTTTTTAAAGTCAATAAATTATTCCTATGATCGTTGCCCTTTTACTCACGTTAAAGACCTAGATTTTTCCAACAACGTATAGCCTAAAGGGGTAATATTACTAATTTAACTAGTTTCTTATTTTCATATAAGTAGAGGAAATATTGTTCCTTATAAAAACTTTTCTCCAGACTTGTCAGGTGAAAACTGACTTTTTCATAGTTGTGTACTCGTTTGGTTCTTTAAAACGAAGGACTTGGACATTTTAGTCTGAGAGGTTCTTAACAACTGTTATATGCGAATTGTTATTCTACTTGCACTAACCCTATTTTTTACCATTGATTCAAGTCGACAAGTCAGTTGAATTTGAAAAATTTATTGTATTCCTTTTAGGTTTCACTAACATACAGTGAAAACCTTTACTCTAATGCAACAAAATGTTATATTGTGTGGAATGTGAACTTAAAGTTTTTTTTAAATGTTTTGGAATACGCTTAGCATACATCTACAAACGAAACAGAAGTGTGTGTGAGAAGCTATAACAATGACGCCAACGATAAGGATATCATAAAGGTCGATTATATGGTAATTGGAGGTAACAGCAATGACTTTTAACTGTAGACAATTACGGTGCCCTCCTAACAATTATACATAATAGCGATTAACTGTACGATACTAAAATGCATGTTTCGATCAAATGTTTCCTAAATAGAAGTTTTTTTCCTTTGTTTCAAATCATTCAGGTTATACATTACCCGCCCTCCAAAACAAAACAAAGTGAGATTAAAAGCTAGGTTAAAATTCAGCAATATACTACATTCATTTTTTTCCAAGCTTGCGAGCGGGCGGAATCCTCCAAATCCTGCTTGCTGATTGGTTCCGAGAGCGGGCGGTATTTTACGATCTCGACCGCTAACCCGGGCGGAATCGTTGGCAGCTTCATTCACAAGTTTGTTTGTTGTTTGTGAATGAGCCAAAACCGTCTTTTTCAAAACATTTTTCTCTTAAAACTTGCGCTATCTTTAGCATTAGCTAGGGTAAAGTGAATTTAATTATTCGGCCAAAACATTTGAGGGAAGAATCAAGCAAGTCAGCCTGGAAAACCAAAGTAAAGCGAAACAGGTGACTCGTGATGTCGCTTCACCAGCTTTATAACCGCGCTGTAAGTACTGCAATCTTGCTTTTATGCACCGTTTATTGGACATTTTTGCTCTGTTTTGTAGGTTTGTTTTCATTGAATTTTGCCTCGCTAGTTCTCTACTTATCAGAAAAGGTTGTTGCCAATTATTGCATTTAACTTTCAATCTAAATAAACAAAACGAATCACTTTTCCAGCAGTCGGTTATCGCCGTTTTCATTTGTTTGTTCATAACTTGTTACTCACATCCCCTTCTTTTAATCGAATTCAATTCAACTTCTTAAAATTGGTATGTGTAATTAGCTCTTTTTATAAAGCCTTTGTGCAATTTTCATCCCACTCGATTGAACTAATCTTAGGGCCTGTTTACATGAAGGTGGGGGACCCCAGGTAGGTGAGGTAGCATGTGGTGGGTAACCCCACCTAACGTGTAAACGTGATCACATTAAAATGAGAGATTGTATGGACAGGCGGTTACCCCACCTAAGCGGGTTACCTCACCTGCCTGGGGTCCCCCACCTCCATGTAAACAGGCCCTTAAGCAATTCTTGAATTATTCAGCCGCAGAAAATCCGTGCTGTATTTTTTCCCCGGCGCTTTTGATATCAAGCTCCTCAATTCTTTTATACTTGTTTGACACTCAGATTATGAATTGTCTAGCAAGACATAAAAACCTTTCTTTATTCTTAAAAGAGAGCAGTAAGTGCCATAATATAAATTACCGAGCTAAAAATAATGTTGTAATGTTTTGGTTTGGTTTACAATGGATCGCGCGCTTCATCAACACGAACGCGTCCTACTTCAACACACATAGGTTGGAGAGTGAAGGAAAATTTTCCTGAAACTTTTTATCTCAGTTGTAAAAAAGTAAAAATGTTATTCACCGGCCTGGGTCGGTCCGTATTGTGAGAAACTGTGCCCTCGGTCTGAGTACCGCCCGAGGCCGTTGGCCGCGGGCGGTACGCAAGACCTCGAACACTGTTTCTCCCAATACGGACCTCCCAGCCGGTGAATAACATTATAACATTATACCGGATAGCTTTCGTGGCGCTACGAGAACCTATCTGGTATAGTGTGTGAACATCTACATGTATCCAACATGTGACTCAGCTCCACTTTAGAGATCGGCGAGGTAGGGCCTCTCCCGTCCGGCACGGAAATCACGCCGCCACAACCGTTTTTTTATGTGTGTGAACAGAAGCCCAATCCGATATGGTTTTCGTGGCGGCGCACAAGCTATCCGGTATCCAGTTCCCTGATAACTCAAGATTCCTGGCTATTTTATCTATTGACGAAATCAAAATGAATGAATCTGAAATGATGCCCTCTGATTCCATCACTTGTATGTTTGTCTTTTAGACTTGGATCCTTGTATAGATGTAACATGTCATTATCACAGTCTGTGTAAGGCTTTTGGACCTCATGATGCACGCTGTGTGTGTTTGGACAGCTGTCCAACTTACAAAGAACCCGTATGTTCATCCAACGGCACAACATACGACAACAAATGTCTGTTTGAACAGGAAGTTTGTCTCAATCGACTAAACTTTACCGTGCAACATCCTGGCAGCTGTGAAGGTCAGAAGTTTATTTGCCTTTATTATTGGTCAGAGGCACCTTTTCACTGAATTCTGTTAATCTTTGGACTAATAGTATAGGTTTCTTTTACTTCATTTCCGTTTACTTTCCCAATATTTTGGGGGTAAAGCTGTTGCGCCAACAAGGGTTTTAAGTTTGTTACTGTAAGCCTAACTAATCTTTGCGACTCCTTTTTAGGATTTCCTTTTCAGCGTGGTCGCCTTCACATGGCCCATATTCCATCTCTGGGTTATTCTCATTGTGAAGTAATTCGTTTCAAGCCTTTTGTGTTTTATCCTGACAAACCCATTGAAGTGCAGATAACTGTAAATCATATGGATACCAGCGACAAATCCTATGTCCATGACGCGGCAGTATCATGGATTGAAGATGTGAATAACGACGGATTCACTGCCTGTGCGATGGCAGCTGGATATAGCGAAAGGAAGTCTTATGCTAACGAGACAGTTGATTGGATTGCGTATCAAGGTGCTCCAGTGGGTGGCGTGACTGGTGAACTGCGCATGTCACAGTGGTGGACAGGGACGACTTGCACAACCGTGAGATTTCCCACCGTAAGTTGTTTTGTTTGTTTTGTTATTTATGTTAATGCTCTCTATTCCTAAGCGTCTAAATAAACATCATAAAATCATTCAATTGGACCTTTAAAAATGAAACTTTCAGGGTGTTACGCCGCAAAATGTAACAATTGACGCAAAATGTAACATTAACTCGAAATGTAACAACTTTTGACACGAAATGTAACATTAACCCGAAACAACGTCATACATAAGTACAGAAAGATATACTAACCAACTATTCGTTCGACTGTTTCAGGATTTAGTCACTATTATCGAAAAGCGTTTTGTAAGTTAATTTGACATTATAAGAAAACTCTATAAATAAACTGTTTTTGTAACCACCAGACAATTTACACTTTATCTACAAGGCTCATGTCCAAGCCTCTCAGTTATTTCAAGGCTGTAACATTTTGCTTGTTACATTTCGCGTTAAAAATATTGTTTCATTTTGCGTCAAAAAGTTGTTACATTTCGCGTTAAAAAGTTGTTACATTTTGCGTCAAAAGTTGTTACATTTCGGGTTAATGTTACATTTCGCGTCAAAAGTTGTTACATTTCGCGTTAATGTTACATTTTGCGTCAATTGTTACATTTTGCGGCGTAACACAGGGTGCTTTATTGTTGTGAATAAACGCGATGAAAAGACAATACTATAAACATAAAGTGACCGTTCTATTTTCTCTCATTAACCCCTGACTATTCTTATTTGCTATTTCGCAGGGGAAATTTTCAGTAAAACCATCTGTCTTTGTGACGTCAAAGCATTACAATCCAGGACTAAAACGTGACGCTGCTAGTGTATGGATTGGAGATTTGACGAAATCATCATGTAAAGTTTGTATGAGAGAACTACAGAATTATGCTGGATCTCACCGAGATATTTTTGTTGTAAGTATAGTGTGTCGTTATTTTAAATGTCAAACGTGGATCATACATTGGGCTGCCACGCTTTGACGTTGTGCCAAACCTTTGTCTCTGGCTCGGGCTTAGGCTACAGGTAATTCTACAAATGCCTTGAAAAGAACAGCCCATCGTTAACATAAAGTGTAGGTCGAGCAACTCCGCAAATTCTTCTTATAATTAGCTATTAAAAAGCGCAAATTACTTTTCAACATTCTTTTCACACCTCATGCCCATTGTTTTTTTATTATTTATTTATGCATGCCGATCGATAAACCAGAAATAACGCGTTGTTGATTTTATTTTCAGAATTGGCTGGCCTTTTCAGATCTTCCCAACCCTCCCTTTTCAGAACATAAGTCGATCTACTTTGCAAATGATAAACCTCCCAACAGCAGACATTATAATGCCTTTTGCAAGGTCAGTATCAGCGTTTGAGCTTGAATCCAAATCTCAGTGAAAAAACCTTTTTTTACTATGGTGGTTATCAAATTTTACTTTCAGACCATTAATGCGAAGGTGCTTAAATTGTAACAGTCTTAGCAATGTACATGATACTGACAATTCCACAGGTCACACATTCGCTACTTCTATACCTCAGTCCCCTCTATGATGGAGTCTGTCCATTTGGTGTTTGTATGAACATTTTTAAGAATTAAATATAAGTATTCTGTGATAGGAGACTGATAGAGCAAAAGCATAAAACCCATTTGAATGGCAATTTCACGTTATCAAAGGTTTAACGCTTAGTTGCGACCTATGTTTCAAAAGGCTTCTTGTCCCGAGTTGAGTGAATTATCTTTCAAATAACTTTGGCCTCAAAATCTCTTTCGTTTTACTGTACTTGTTTCACAGATTTGCGCTTCTCAGTTTGGAAGTGTACTTTATATGGTGCCAGCCCAGTTTATTCTGAACGTCGATATGGCATGATTTCCCAAACTTTTAATTGCAAAGTTAAGAATTAGTTAATTCACGATTATATCAAAATCGTCAGGAAAACAAAAAGACCTTCTTTTTCCAAGGTGGAGCAAAACCTAATCAAAGCCGACATTCTCTAAATTCAGTTTATTTCTTATAGTCAACGACACTTTAAGGTAGTATCTATGAGCAGCAAAGTAAGATTTAGCCATCCAGACTCTTACCAGAGGATTCTCAATACAATTTAAAAAAAAATGTTGGATTTGGAAGTAGACGATGTCTTAGTAACAATTCCCCTTCAAGTTGAAATGTTCTCTTTATCTTTTATAGGAGGCAATCTTTGCCAAAAGGTATAACACAACGCCACACGTCTTCGTTTCTGCTTCTCATTCAACAAAAGGAGGGAATCAAAGACCAGCTCATAACAGTATAGCTGCCTGGGTAGAGGTTGGTAACTAGTGATTTCAGGATATCAAATAGACCATTTGCACTAAGAGGTCATGTGAAATCATTTTTATGGAAATGAAAGTTATAGTATTTTGCCTTCAAAAAACGATTAGTGGGTCATATCTTAAACAAAATAATAGTGATTTAGTTTTTCGCACCATTTCTTAAAATGAGTAAGCTCGTAGCTGGTCAGGTGACCAAACTGTGATTTTTAAAACTATGACTTACCTCTTTCTGAACAGAAATTTTGCACCTAAGCTTCAAGGAAATTGCTGAAAAGATGGTGTGGTAACGTTTATTATATAGACACGAGTGTTTTACTGGAAAATATACCACTCGTAGAATTCATAAAAACTACATCCGGGACCCGAGTGTTTTTTTTCCATAATCTCAAACGTGAGTTTATCGATGACCTAATTTCGGTAGTTTCCCTCTATTATTTTATCGATGTCTTTTTGTCTATATAATAAAAAAAACATTACACGGCGGCTTGAAGATATGAATTTTATTTTCTCGTGGCAAAAACAATATTTTACCAATATTGTTTTGCCACTCGAAAACGAAATTCATATCTTCGCGCCACCGTGTAATATCCTCTATTAACAGCACATCTAAGCGTAACTATCGAAAGTTTAACAAGATACAAGCAAAAAGTAGTTTTGGCCGCCATGTTGGAGGGCAAGAGTATGCCCTCCAACATGGCGGCCAATACAAATCATACTACTTTTACTGAAGAATCAAAGTGCCACGAAATATCTCCCTTAAATGCGTTTCTTCTCAAATTTCGGGTGTACGATAATTTTTATGCCCTTTGCCAATTTTTGTTATCAACAGGATTCCAAGTCATTGTTTAAAGAAGCATTGGTCACGTGACCTCTTAGTGCAAGTGGCCTTATTTCATATTAAATTAAGAGTAGTATAGTAGGGACCGAACTGACCTTTTTTCATCGACGAATCTCGTTACTCTGCCGAGAAATACATAGACATGCACCGATGACCTTATGGCCTATTGTCTTTATTCCTTGAATAGCAATATGTAAATAATAGTAATAATAGCAATAAATATTATTGTAATAATCATAATCATAACATATTTAACAAGGGTAAACCTGTCAGTGAAAGCTGCTATAAATGGGGAGAACAATACTAATTTAAGCACTGAAGCATACAGGCAACTACAACAAATAAAGATAAAAATAAGTAGTTACAGCTGTATACTGGTGCTTGGAAACCAGTGAAAAAAGTGCCTCTCTTAGCAGATTCTGTGCGTACTGTAGAAATTAAAGTTTATAAATATAGGTGAAATCTCATTAAGATAGGTCGTGTGCCATTTTAAGGTGGTTTAACCGGTTTTACACTGGGGCTTTCTAGATCTTAGGGAAACAATTGCATTGCTTTTTGATTGGTTGACTAAACTCCAAGCAAAGTATTCATTTGTAGATTCATGCTGTCAAAGTAATAGGCGCTAGCTCCCTTATGACATGAAATCACTGAGTAAGTATCCAGTTCTATTTCCCCACGAAAACCACCACCACAGCCTCCACAATCACATTTTTATTGTTTTCCCGTGTCCTCATCCACCACCACCACATTACTATTGTTTTCCATCTTCCTCCACCAACACTACTGCCACCACCAAAGTTCTAGTGTTTTCCCTCCCTCACCTCCCCATTTCTATTGTTTTCCATACCCCACCACCACCATCACCACATTTCCAATGCACATTTTAGTACTAATGTTTAGTGCTTTCACATACAGTATATTAGCAGGAAAGGAACTGTGTGAAGCAAAATACGACCCACTCTTCATATCCTACATAGTTTTGTCGGGTAAGAACTTTACTACAAAAAAGAGAAGATTTTTTACGGTATGTCTCTCCATATTGTCTCTTATTTGTGACTCAATGCCGTGATTTATACGCACAGACATCTGTCCAGATGGATGGAATTACTTCAATGGATACTGCTATTTAACAAGCTCTGTATGGGCCCCTTGGGTGACTGCAGTGTCCAACTGTTCAATGATGAACTCACATCTGGTAACAGTGCACAACCAAGAGGAAAATGTCTACATACAGCACCGTCACAATGGCGAGCGATCATGGATAGGCCTTAATTACCGAAGCGTTGAGGGATCGTTTGTGTGGACAAACAATGAAATAATCAGTTTTCAGTTCTGGGCTCCGCAACAACCAAACAACTTGAAGAACGAAGACTGTGTCCACGCCCTTGGTGCGAAAGATGGCTACTCTTGGAACGACGTGTCATGTGATAAATGCTATAACTATACTTGTGTTAAAGGCAAGTTTTGAGTTGCCATAGAAATACTACAAGTCCAAACCTTTGTCACCAATTACGAGGTTTGAAGATCACTTCTGCAGTAGTGAGTTTTTATGATAATATTGTCGCCGTGTTGTTGATCAGAATTTCATAAAGTCTGCCTTTTATGTAGCTCTCTTCCAGGCAGTAGTCTAAATATTTAGGTAAAGGTAACCCCTGTGCTTATCACCCTCAGTTATTCAAAAAAAAAAAATCGTCATGCGAATGATAATACTGCTACCAAGTAAGATCACGGTGATAAAATGGTCTTCATTGACTTTTGTTGTCTACTGCAGACATTGACGAATGCATCAGCAATTATTACAGCTGTGATCCAAACGCTGCTTGTCAGAATACCGTGGGCTCATACATTTGCACTTGCAAAGCTGGATTCTATGGAAATGGAAAAAAGTGCTTTGGTAATTATCACAATCCTTCTTTTGTTTTCCCGACCTTTGCATTCAGGTTGGCTGTTGAGTTAACATATTTACCCTTTAAGGTACTATATTCTTATCCAATATGTATGGATCAGAACTTACTAATAAACTAAAAACTGACTAAGAATTACGATAGGTATTCTCGGTCTTCGTTTTGACAATTAATTAGGCACATAGATTATTTGTTAATAGCACATTTATTGTCCTATCGGCTCCTTCTGGGCTCCGTTTTGACAATTTAATGTGATATATTTTTTTTGTTCAACTTGTCCATCAGTTGGTTTAAACTTGTAATACATTGCCATACGTCAAAACAAAGTACTAAAAAATTACCAGCACATAATTTACTTAGTCAGGATTCACTGACTACTCAGATTATTATTTGTTTTCTCCGTCATTAGATATTGATGAATGCAGCAACGAACCCCGTGCCTGTGATGTAAATGCAGTATGTAGCAACACTCAAGGGTCTCACAACTGCACCTGCACACCTGGATACTCTGGAGATGGAAAGAAATGCATTGCAAATGGTAGGCAGCATCCCTACAGAATTCCTATGATATTTTCTTTAATTATTTTATACTGTTTAGGACGGAAAGCTGGTCCAGTTTACGAGTATTTTGCCTAAATATAGACAGTCGGGTTTAATTTGTTAGGTGTTTAGCGACATTATTCCGGGCCTGAATTTCTTACACAGCTTCTCATTCAGCTTGCAGTATAGTGTATAAAAGCAGATATTATCGTTGACTTTATAAGTTGTAAAGTAGCCATATCCTGCCAAATGTAGAATTATCACGCAGTGCTAATGTCATGTCTTCCAGCTTACAAGAACTGTGCTGAACTGTACAAAGCTGGAAAACGAACAAGTGGAGTTTACAAGATGGACCCAGACGGTGCTGGTGTCTTTGACGTGTACTGTGACCAAAAAACAGCCGGTGGGGGGTGGACAGTGTTCCAAAAGAGACTGGATGGCTCGGTTAATTTCTACCGCGGCTGGAACGACTACAAAAAAGGGTTCGGAAATCTGAATGGCGAGTTTTGGCTTGGACTGGACAAAATTCACCGCCTGGCAAAAACTAAAAGCAAACTTCGAGTGGATCTAGAGGACTTCAACAGAAACACGGCTTATGCCGAGTACAGCTACTTTGCTATAACAGACGAGAGAAGCAAATATAAGCTGAGTCTTGGAACTTACTCCGGTAATTGTATTACTAACTTGATTAAAAATGGAGTTCGGGGAAACGTCTTTTAAAGGCCCCAGTTAATGCTAATGATTTTGACGTTTAAGAAATAAAGAGTCACCACAGTCCCATACGCAGTAAAGTATTTAATAATCACACCGCTATCATAAAATAAGAGTACGGCAAATTAATATAATATGGAGCGTTAGAGTGATTTCACTACGACCATGAAACGGCTTCATTGCTTCCCGCTGTTTCTAGATCTTAACCATCCTATTAAGAATAACAGTTATGTGGAGATAAATGTAAGGAAATATCGTTTCTTCCAATTTCATTCTCCAGGAAATGCTGGTGACTCGCTAAGTTTTCACAGAGGCTCTCCTTTCTCAACTAAAGATCGAGACAATGACGGCTCGTCTAATAACTGTGCCACACGTTTCAAGGGGGCTTGGTGGTACGAGAGATGTCATGAGTCCAACCTAAACGGCCTCTATCATCGCGGAAGACACTCTTCATATGCTGATGGTGTGAACTGGTATCACTGGAAGGGACATCACTACTCCGTTAAACGAGCTGAAATGAAAATCAAACCAGTCAACTTCTAAACCAACAAACAGCGGTTGTCAGTGCTTATATCTGCTTGATTCACAATGGTCGTTTAAATAACTTATATAGCTGTAACATATTTTGTTAGACTGCATAATCCTGTCACAGATTTGATGGAAAAAAAAACTATAAAATAAAAATTGTTGCAATTGGTTTTCGCAATTTACAATATTGCCTCCGATTTATACTAACTGCCCTCTGTTCTACTCGTTTTTCTTTTTCCAATTCACTGAACTTTCTGATCTTTGTTTTTAATACTTGCTTTATATATGCTTTATTGCCGGTCAGTCAATTCCAAGCGTGCCCATCCCCCGCCGGCATTTGTCAATTCTTCTAGAAACGGTTAACATTGTTCCTTTGTCAATATTCCACTTTAAAATATGCCTATTTTGATAGCTATTGATATTTTTATAAAGAATATTTTTAATACGTATGCTTTAAAAAGATACTTGTAATTTTCGCTCCATCACCACCCTACCAAAATGTATTTTTTGCATCCGTCTAAGGAACTGCTTCTCGCGATTCCGTCAACGAGATCAGTTCGCACATGGAGGAAAAACTATGAATGCATCGTTTAAAAGAAAAGACATTTTCTTTGTGAGCGAATGGTTGAGGCAGAGAGGCCAAGAAAAACTCTGCGAGATGTTTAAAAGCTAATATAAACTTCGTGTTTTGTATGATCAATGCGACGACGTTGACGAAACGGTTCCATGATGATGAGAAAATAATCATGTTTATAAGTTTGTCGGTTATTTGTTTATCATTCACTATTTTTTAAAATAAGAAAGGTGTTATTAAAATTCTAGTTTATAGTTCGGTCATTGACACAGACTTTATTAATCAGATCGGATAAATCTTTTCTGCAGTAATTATAACTGGCGGCTAGGAGCGATTTCGGTTGGGCCCGGTGTTTCACTCGTGTTGATCAGATTATTACAGATTTCCTATAAACTAAATATGGCATTTGCAGCTTATTTACTGGAAAATGCAATGTTAGTGTTGGCCCTGGGTAGGGTATTTGGCCACTTTTTATGCTCCACCGTGGGGGTTTTGGATGAACCGCCCGGCCCCACCGTGGGGCACTAGCAGCTTTCCTAAAAAAAAAAACAAGAAGAAGAAGAAAAAAAAGAAAAAAAAGAAAAATGCCCGGGGGAAGGTGGGATGGGCACGCTTGGAATTGCCTGAACCATTATTGACCAAGCAGAAGGTCAAGATGGCTGGATATTGGCCAAGTTCCTCTGTCTGTTTTTATTGACCGAGTCGAGGCCAATAGACAGCCATCTTGATCGAGCAAGCTTGGTAAATAAAGGTTTTATTATATGACCCAAAAGACAACATTTTCTTGGGGAACAACGCGAGAAATCCTGAGCCCGCTTGGTTAGCCAATCAGAACGCAGGATTCGTTTCATCTTGCCCGCTCACGGATTCAGCCATATAATGATTGAACATTAAGTTCACGAGTTAATTACAGCCCAGAGGTCTTCTGATTAATATCATAGGTGATGAATTACTCCTTAATTTTGGTGCGAAATTTCGGCGTTAATTTGTAATTTCACATGTGAAATTACAAAATTGCCATGGCAACCCTTCCGTACGTCTCAGTGTCAAGATGGCGACGAAGTTTTAAAATGTCGTGAATGAAGATGTCAGGGCACAAAAAGACGCTTTAGAAAACCCGAACACACAAGAGAACATCAAGAAGGATTCTAACAGGTATTTTTCCGAAGAAGTCTGAACTTTATAAGCCAAATTTAAGGTCTAAACATTTGAGAGAGTGAAGTTGTCGATCGATACGATCCAGGATAAACATGTCAAAAATCCAAGATTGCTAACGTAATTCGTCACCCATGATATTGATAGGTAATCTAATGGTATACTCGTGAAATTAGGGAATAATTTCACTTGCGTTTTGTCCAAATCCTAATAATTTCCCGAGCCTTTTTAATTATTAGGATTTGGACAAAACGCGCGTGAAATTATTCCCTAATTTCACTCGTCACCATTTTATTACACATACTAACTTGGGCTCTCATATGCGATAGAGGTGTAGAAACCTTTAGCAAGCACATTCCGAACAAAAATAAAGCTTTCAAGAGATTTCTCACCTTACCAAAAATGGAAACATATGCGTTGCAGATCAATTACTCATTGAGCACTGAATTAAGACCAGCAGAGCGAACAAGGAACATTTCAGTTCACCCAACAGCATTTCTGGTCATTTCAGGCTGTTGTATCGTGCACTTAGCTGCTGTCTATAAATAAAAGGTTTATGACGTTTATTATATCGACATTTCTTTAACATTTCACTCGTTGAAGCTATCTTTTCAGCTTTTTCGAAATATCACGCGAACTATATTAAGAAATACGAAAAAAAAAAAAACACACAGAAAAATATAGCTTTCTGAATTCATTCATGTAGAGATGTGCCGCGCGACCTTTCCGGGTTTGGGGGAGTCAAGGAAATTAGGTAAAAAATGATGATGTCGGACTGCATTGAATCATGACAATACATGACAGATTTTGTGATAAGAAAGCTTTTTTTTTTTTTTTCAAAGTCATATCTCATCTAACGATGTCGAACGAGGAGCCATACAGAAAAAATACTGTCAGTTTCGATTTTATTTTCTCTAATATCATCGGTGACAACTAGTTGGCAGTTAATTGATGGAACGCGCGAACGTGGATGTACATTGTGCAACTGATTTCAATTAATCCTGTTTCACACAGTTTTTCAGTTTGCACTTTTTTATAACTTACATCTATATGACGCTTTAAAATTCTATGTGTCAAGTGTCAGGATCGTCACACCACAGTGTTTCTTGTACATTGCAGTGAAAGTTCACGTTGAGAATCACGCACGGTGCCCCATTAACAACAAGATTACTGATTACTCTTTTTAGGAATGTTATACTTGATTGTTGAAACTCCTGTTTCACTGTCTCTCTGAAACGATACCTGAAAAGACAACATGAACACAAACAAGGAATTTCAAGATTTCAAGTCTAAAGAATGAAAATTCAGATCAGGAGGGTATCTAATAACAACTGAAGACTTAACTTCAAAGGCTTAAAAACGGCGCGATTATATATTTTCTCCTCGATGTGAATGAAATTTCCGCCTATGATAAACGTCGGAAAAGTAAAGAGCACTTAGGCGTGCTTCTCAGTAATTTTATATCTGCATTAAAAAAGTCGACGCAAACGCCATTGAGCAAACGTTCTTGTGTAAGAGCGAAAGTTGGATGGGAAGCCTCCAGTTCCCACCATGGCTTCTGCGTTAAGCAAAGAAATGCTTAATACGCAGAATATTCCAAACAAATTTAAGTTTTCAATTGAACGTAAACTAATTGGAATTTCTGAAAAGATGAAAAAAAACGTCTCGACAGTTTTGACTGCATTGGTGAAGGGCGATGTAAAGAGCAGAAACAGTATTTTAGGTTTTACAGAAAATCCTATTTTTTTTCACGGCAATACTCAAGGATTTTCATTCAGAAGGAGCTTTAACTGTGTACCTCTTATTAGCCGACAAAGAAACTAACAAAAAAACATAACAACAAAAAACATGTGATCCGTAATTTATAGGATTGGAAGTTACTTCGTGGGTATAGCAAGATATATATCATATGACTTTCTTTTGTGGAACAAGAATTTGGTGCCTTACATAACATTTTATAGAACAAGCAAATAAAAGCGCACTACATGATTCTCTAAGTTGAAAAACAGAAATATTTTATCGTTTTGATGGCTTTTCGGAGATAGGCGCACTTGTAGCTGCATGATTGAAGGAAAAAGAAGGACCATAACAGATCGAGAGATGACTTAACCACGGTATAAACAAGTATCAGTTGCCTACATGTAACTGTGTACCAACTCACCTTCTTCTGGTCATGAAACCTTGCGTAGTCTCGTGTTCTTTTCTTTGGGTCATGATCGTGCTTAAATGTTTCATAACCACTTGTTACTTGTTGGCTGCTGTGGCGATAAATCTAAAATCAATATCAACAGCGTCAAAAACTAGAGATTATCGGCCTAGGGTACTTATAGAGGGGTAGATGGAAGTAAATGGGATGTGGATCACAGTGAACATTGAAAAAACTTAGAGTCTTTCCCCCCGCCTCTCCCTCCGTTCCCAACTCCGTTCCCCGCTCCGTTCTCCGCTCCGTTCCTCGCTCCGTTTCCTGCTCCGTTCTACGCTCCGTTCCCCGCTCCGTTTCCTATTTTATTCTGTTCATTGTAAACAAAAGAAGACTAAGTTCTATCTTCTGATCACTCTTGACAATTGTTGAACAAGTATTACACCAATGATCTCATACAGATGCCTAAGGTTAAGCCAGGTTGTCCGCTAACAGTTCCCAGCAGTATACTAAACTTAACTACACTAAACAGCTCGTATTTTCGCGAAGGTCAAGAACGCGCGAGCAGTCAAACGAAAGGTCTGGAGCGAGGATGAAAACGGAGACTGAGACAGGAGAAGGACTCTTCCCCTCACCCAGTCGATTTTTAGAAAACTGACAAACTGACAAAAGAATTGACTTTGCACAACCTACTAGGAATTTTTGCTTTCAGCGACTTGAAAACCTAGTTTTAGCTCTTCAAACGAACGCCGGTCACTTAGGATTCCACAGATGCAGCACCATCATCCCGGCATTGTGAGGGCATAATCTTGTCAAGTTTAACCCTTAACAATTAATCTCATGGTCTCCAAATTGTTCTAATACGAGAAGCAGCAGAGAGGTTGGTATTATCAATTGAGTTGATTCAGTGCGTGAATAATATTGGCCACAACAAAGAGATCTGAGAATAGCCATGTAGGGGTTACTAACATTACTGGAGTTAAAGTTCTGTTAACGGACATTCCCGTGAGCAGCACTGAGGCCACTCTACCTTCCTATCAAACTGCTAGTAGCAGCCCCCCCGGGGATGTACTCCCTTATAAAAGCCATATATGTATGTGCCGCCCCAAAGGGTAGGGGTTTTGCGCCGTTTTTGTCTGAAAACGGGTATAGACTTTGCCCATTTTGGTCTGGAATCGGGTACAGTAATCGAGCGAACTACGGGATTGTATGAACGTATTCATCGTTTCAATTCCAAATGAGATGGAAAGAAAGAGAAATATTCGAATTCGAAATTGAGTTCAAAAAATGTTTTGTTCCTGTTCTAATTTAAGTGATGATGAAATAATTTCTTGAAGGCTAGGTCTGAAAACGGGTTGAAAATTGACGGGTTGAAAATTGACATTTTCAACAATTCCTAGGAATACCCCCTCCCCCAGGGGAAGCAGCTTAAGAGGATCGTTCCTATATTAAGTGGCCACTTCCAGTTGTGGACCCTCTGCTTGCGTTTTCCAGGAGAATCCACTTTCATGCGCTTCAGTGGTATTAGCAATATTATTACTTACTGATAATTTAGCTTCTTTCAAATACAGTTCATCATCTTCACGTCCCCAACCCCAAAATTTGTTGGAAAGTCCATTGACCTAAAATTAACAAAAGAATGATTTTGAAGTCATTTATTGTAAATTGAAATTATTGAAGTTACATTCAAATAAAACCGAAAGGTTTTTTGTTTTTTGTTTTGCAATTGCGTAAATTGCAATAACCGCTACGACGATCGTATCTGAACGTTTAAACTGTTTTGTATTTTCGCAGTTCACATCATCTTCACGCTTCATTCCTTTCACGGGTTATGATGAACTCAACAAATTGGCCTGCTCCCAATATATCGGTCTTCATTGCTTAAATGGTAGAGTACTGCAGTGCTAACGCGATTCTAAAATTTTTCTATATTGTTGCCCCCGCAGGGATTTCGTCTAGAAATCCCGAGGATCGGAGGCACCCTAGTAACTCGCGCGTATATTAAGGAAAGTACTTACAGTTGAAACATACAGTATGCCAGAAAAAATCTCGATTTGCTTGAACAGGGGCCGCGAGGAATCGGTAGGTAATGATGACGTTTCTATTGTTTGCGCCCGCAAGTACCAAATGGTTAGGATGACGTAAAGACAGAAAATCCTGAAGGGACCCCTTAGGTAGATTTTGTGGCATTTATTGTGCAGTCATACTTCGATACTCTTTTGCGTTACGTGTAATCAGAGACATTCTGTGGAGCAGTTGTTTTGAGAGTTATGGACCAAAAGACACTCGTTAAGCGCAGAAGAAGTTATAAGGTTCGTATAACTGTGTATATATAAAAAAAACTTGGAGAGTTTGCTAGACACGAGTTCACAAATCTTTGATTGAAAACCTTGCCAGACACTCTGTAGTTCAACTGTAAATATACGAGAGACTTACTAGAGTAACGTTTACGCCAAACGATCAAGTTTTCTCCTTTTACGTGTCGTTTATTCTTCTTCAAAAATACACGCTGATAACGCCAGTTTTATCCATAAGAATTGTTTTGGGCTGTTTTTATCTGATCATTTTCTATTTTGACAATTTTCAAATAGAATTTGACCTTCGCCGTTTGTCGTAACTGTGTCTCTAGTGAGGTTAAGTATCACATGCATGTCAAATTTGTACCACGTGACCATGCAAGTTTCCCCATTACTTGTCGTTTACTGTTCATTTTTTCTACACATAGATTAATGGTTTCACCCAGTTTTTTATCCATAAGAATTGTTTTGAGCTGTTTTTATCTGCTCATTTTTTACTTTGAGAAATTCTCAACTTGAATATGAGGTTTGCCGTTTGCAGCATACGTGAAGCTTAAACTCTCTTCTATCTCACCATTGACAACCACCACTGAAGTCACCGAAACCAAAGTAATCAAAAACCAGACATAGGAATTATATTTTGAAATCGTATACATGAAGCAATCCTACACTGTACGAGCGTACCTAGGTTCGATTACCAGAGTCCGCTAGAGCGCCGGAAATATCAATTCACCATTGTCACATAAACCATAATGAACCTTGTTTACCTTCCAAAATTTGCATAACTTTTTTTTACAATTTCTCAGTCGTCCCAAGAGAAAACGAAGACAATGGTTATGCAAAATTTTGGGGGGTAAACAAGGTGCATTATGGTCTATGTGAAAATGGTGAATAGAGCCTAATAGAGACAAGACTAAATAAACAGAATCATGCACATTTCCGGCTGTAACAAATGATAATTTTGTAGCGTAGAACCTGTTGATAGTGTTTTATTTACTTTTTTTTTAAAATTTAATTTCATGCATTGTAAAGATGTGTGGTCTCGGGACTAGAATGCCTATCAAATATAACAGAGACTTAATTTGTAAAACTGTCCATTTTATTTTAAAAATAAGAGAAAGAATGAATTGCACAAATAGATGCTGATAGGGGCACGAAATAAAAAGCGAATGTACAGCGACATATAAATTTATAGGTAAACAAAGCAAAGCGAACGAGCCGACTTGAATTTTGAAATGCAAATCTCATTATTTGAAATATATTCTCTAAATTACCCCTTATTTTCAGTACAATTATCATATTTTACTATCAATCTATGGCATTGCTCGTCGATTTTGTAGAGTTAAACTAGAGATGATAAGCGGGCTTTTAAAAATTTTCACACATTACTCACTTCATTAATTTCGCTTTGTTTACAGAATAAACGGCTATTATAAATTTTCCTTTTCTTCTAACAATAAGATAAGCTTAATCGGACCTAAGCACCGTCTCTGGATGCGGAAACGAAATCCATTTGAAGCTATTCCCTCAATGATCCAGCGCAGGTAAGAAACTGCGAGTCGTAATTCAACCCGAATTGAATACCGAAGGCAACTCTGATGAGTCAATGTTACAAAAAACTAGCCCTGCTCTAACTATTTTCCGGATTCCTTCCGCCGGTTTTGGCTTGTATTAAAACCCTTATAAATTACCGTCTGGCGCGCGAAAACCGAGTCGCAAAAATGAAATAAGATAGAAGATTAATGTATCAACAATCTCGCACAAATTCATCTCTGTACGGTTTTTCAAGCCTAAGTTATTCGTAGAGGTATTTCAGTCAATAGAAGTTTCTATCAGTATGATGACGCCATGATCGTGTCCCACACAACATCTCTTTCACTGTTGTTTCTTAGTTTACCAATGAAACTGATTAATCATCAATCGACACTAAATAAAAATTAAGAGAGTGATTAAATAGAGACTGAATCCGGTCAAATGATAAGTGGTCTGATCATTTTATACCGACTTAGGAACTGAGCCACCTGATTTTAAATTTCGAGCAACGCGTAGACCTAATAGAAATTCAAACTTGATTCCTAAACGAAAAATCATATTGACCTGAAAATTATTAAAACGATAAGTTCCTAGGACGTCTTATTCCTTCAGTATTGTATTATGAAACGTAAAAATCAGGTGCGGGTTGTTCAAACGTTGGATAGCGCCATCCAGCGCATAAATATTGGAGAAACTAATTGCACTATCCACTGGATGGAGAATAGTGCTATCCACCTTTTGAACATCTAGGGCCAGAAGGATTGGTGGTAAGTTGTATTTCAGCGAGGAGGTAGAAATATCTTTAGTTCAGTTTATCACTGTAACACTTCACTGAGTTAGATGATTGGTTTACTAGAGGATAGCTAAAATATCATAAAAAAGAAAGTTCGATGCAAATATCACAAGTGCTAAACTAAATAACCCTACTAATCCGATAGGAGAGCGTCTAATCGCCCAGTAATTCTGAATTTTCTCGGCTACCCGTATGCAAATGTTAGTGAAATGGAATAGCCGAGATTTTCAGTGTTAAACCATATTTTTAAGCAGAATAAATAACTTACTTTACCAGCTAAATGAGACTTTCTTGCCAGAAATTTAATTTCCTTTAAACTCCTGTGGTGTTTCCCCTATTTTTTTAAAAGGCAAAGTTAAACTGCTGTCGTAATTTTCGTTTTACTCTATATATTTGTTAAGTGATCCTGAATTATACGCCATCTTCTTTATGCTTTTGTACCCCCAGGGACGTCAAAAACCTCACATGTCTACCCCCACTAAGTACATGTATCTTGAACAACATTACATATCAGCTCTTTGCTTCTCCTTAACCCCGTATCTCACTGCTACCCTCTCAGGCAATTTTTTTCATTGTGCTGAACGTGTAATATTTTCGCGTTAAACCTTATTGCCACGTATTCCTAAGAGGTATAATGACGACCAGGGTAGATTTTCCCTCATTGGAAGCAAGATGTCTACCGAGCACCAACTCCGTGTACACTTCTTCGCGATTTTCTTCACAGTTGCTCTCATTTACCAAGAAATTGAAGGTGTGAACGATAGCAAAATTGATGTTTTTATGTTATTGAAGAACTGTTTCATACATACATGCTCGTAATATTTTGATTTAGTGATGAAAAACTGTAAGTTGCAAAAACGCTTTGATTTGACGAAGGAAGAAGCATTGTTCACAAGTAGTTACTTTTTAATTAACACAGTATCTTTATGGTAAAAACATGTCGAATAGTCGCACAGTGGCACTTAATAGTTTGTTCTTATTTCCACCACAGGACTCAGCTTCAAAGCAGGAAAATTCAATGTGACCACAACTTTGAGTCTGTTTGCCTGTAAGAATGTTTCTTTTGAGGAGCCTTTTCACGGTGGACAAGAAATTAAAATCTTCATTTCTAAAAGCCACGCAGCGGAAGGTTTTACTCGAGCTAGTGGAAATGGCGCAGCAATTTGGGTGGAATCTGTGAATAACAAGGCATTTACTGTCTGTGTTTTGGAGTACGGAGATGGCTCAAGTGGCGCTTCGCAAGTGAACTGGATGGCGCTGCAATCTGTTCCTACTGGCGCTCAACTAGGCACAACTTCTTTAAACGCCTGGACTACTGGAACAAAGTGTAAAAGAATCGCTTTTGAAAAGGTTCGATTAGTTCAGTTTTTGATATTTTTTTTGTAATTTTATTTCGTTTGTCTCCTTCAGCCTTTCACTTTATACTCGTTATTTCATGTCTATTCATAAAAAGTGCTAGAGCCATGCCCAAGTTTCAGAGTGTTTGACAACGTTGTTGTTGTTGCTAGGCAGGTGCTGTGACGTGTTTTCTTAGTATTACCTGTTATGTCATCTTACATTTTTCCGTGTTTGTCATATTTCTTGAAGAGATGAAAAGTTTGATTGATAGACTGGGATAACCTCAACAGAATAGTGTTATGTTTATCAGTTACCGTGACGTCATTAATGTGGCGGCCATATTGGCTGCCATCTTGAATTTTATTTTTTGCTAAAATTTGTCTTAATGACATAAAATTTGAGAATTAAGTTTGAAGCATGCTATAATCAAATATTTTTCTTTTTTGGAACTATGCTATGTGTAATATTTTTACAAAGAAAGTAACGCGCATTTTTCTTAGAAGTGGCTTATCCTTATGCTTTTTATGACGTCATGTCTTGTTACCATAGCAACCTTCCATCACCAAATTTGAACGGAATTTGCCCTAGGAATAAAATGAGCAGTTACTGGAAAGAAAAGGCTTTGGCTGAAAATCTGTTTTGAAAATATTGGGCAAAACCTGTGCGCTTCTACCAATTCAATTGATGTTAAATTTCACTGTTCTAAATCTTCAATCTCTTTCTTGTTCTTTATTTTTTTGACAGAGAAGAACAAATTAAGAACAAGAAGGAGATTAGAATGTAGAAAAAGAAATAGAGGAGAAAAGATAGGGCTTTAAAGGACCAGGAAGAGTAAACTGAAGCAGCTCAAGAAGAAAATATAGAGAAAATTAGATCAAGAAAATAGAACAACTTTTGAGAAACAAAAGGGTCAAGTAAATATATTACTTAAAATAACAGGCTAATGAAAAGATGAGAAATAAATCAAGAGTTGAAGAAACTGAAAAAAAAAAGCAGTTAACTTATAGTTCATGTCCGAGTGAAATAAACTTGCAGGTATAGATTTATTTACAAAGGATGCTGGGGAAAAAAGAAGGAAGTAATAGAAGGGTTTAAAAAGTCAAAAAAAAAAAAAAACACTGAAACAAATTATGGTTTGGTTTTCTTGATTGTTTTGTTACTTTTTTTGTCTGTTTTTCTGATTTTCGTATCTTGACTCTTTCTGACTACTAAACATGGCCAAAGAAAAATGATTACAAAAACATCCAACTTTCTTTTGTAAAATCCTAAGAAATATTTGATTAATCTATGCAAGACTCTCATAAAAAAGTTCCATTGAAATAGTGACACTTCAGGGCTTCGTCCACAAATTTAAGAGTTGGAGTATGAAAATATCACGCCATAATGTGGTCTAGGAATAAAGGGGTTAATTTTTTTTTAAATACAGTGAAACCTGTATTAAGCGGACACCCTCGAGGAATGCTGTAGTGTCCGCTTAATACAGGGTGTCCGCCTAATACAGGTTTCGACAGATAGCGCCATATGAGGTGTCAAATGCCATTTAAATGAACAGTGGGAAGGTTAAGAATACTCCCAGAGATTTTGACGATATACGTTTGCATTAATTTCTTTATCAAAGTGGGCCAGTTGATCATAATACCATAAACATGCATTGCAACTCAAATTTGAAGAAATCAGATGAGTGAAACAAGCTCTATACAAACAAAACGAAATAGAAAACAATACTGTACTGTGAAACTAATCAAATATGTTCGTCAAGTCACGTTTTTTACTGTAAAAATAGAAAAATTTGTGGGTGGCAATTCGAGGCAATCTTCGCATTTCCGGTGTCTGGCATGTTGGGTGGTGGAATTTGATTACAAGTGTCCGTTTAATACAGGTTGGTAACAATAGAAATGACCATTTCATCGAATTTCAGGTTCTTTTTAGGTGTCCGCGTCCGCTTAATAGAGGTGTCCGCTTAATAAAGGTTTCATTTAAACCAAATAAGGGAAATAACTTTTGGGACTTCGGCTACTGTCCGCTTAATACGGTGTCCGCTTAATACAGGTTTCACTGTATTTATTTCATTTAACACTCCACTTTACCTGCCCTCGATCAGTAACAGTGCTGCTTTCCATGGTAGAACTTACAGTTTCTCTTGTTTGTCATCTTTGTTCCTTGAAAATATTTTATGGATAATATCATTTGTTCGTATTTTTCCTCTTTCAGCGTTTCCAGGCTCTCCCGAATATCTTTGTCACTGTTCGTCACCAGGTTCTTAAAAGACCTCAAGACGCTTTGGCCCTGTGGGTAGATGACTTGCGCAAGGACAGTTTTAAACTCTGCGCCAGAGAAATTAAGAGTTTTGATGGAATTCACAAAAATATCAAAGTCGTAAGTAATAACCCAGATAATTGCTTTCTTCGAAAACTAACTGTTTTGTTAGTAGTGGTGTCTTTTGGAACTAAGTAGTATAGAAATGTGCGAACTCGTAACCACAGAACAAATTTTATGCACTGTTATGTTGGTATTTTCATTAACACCAATATAGATTGTTTTTCGCACAGAACAGTAGGCAAAACTCTACAATAGCTTATTTAAAATTGCCACTCCTCTGTATCGTCATACCTCGTAACCGTAGAAACTTTTTCAACAAAATTCGTAAAAATGTGGCTGAGGAAGAAATGAACGTTTAATGAAAACGTTGAAGCTCGATTATTTTTCTATCTCATCAATCCCCCCCCTTCTTATGCATTTGAAAGCAAAGCAAAAATTAAATAAGTGGCGTTGTTGTGTACCCTTGCTTTGCTTTCTTCTTGGTTTGAAAGCGTAATGACAGAAGAACAAGTGTTACATTTATAGGCTCAAAAATTCTTGCGTCTTATATATCTTTACCTCTTCCCTGCAGGATTGGATGGCTTTTACCAAATTGAAGACTGACAATTTCACCTTGACTGATAGTCTCGTGTTTACAAACAACAACTCACCATCAAACAAACAGGACAACAACGCTATTTGCCAGGTAGTGCCATTTGACTCGTGTTTTAAGGCTTGCCTCAAAAAATTTGTGGGCTTTAATTTCAAGTAGAAAGATTTCTCTCATCTTCACTTGGGAAGCAGTTTCCTATCCACTCTTGATGCTATTTGAGGCGGTTTTCATTGTCTGTCTACGTCACGTGACCGGCATTGTTCTTGTAACGGTCAAAATGTTTGACCGAAAATGGCGAATACTTAGTCAAACTGTATTCTCCTTATTTTATCGTTTTTCTATGGCTTCTAGCCAGAGCTTTAGAGTGCGAGCTTTTAATTATGTCCATGCATGTTTTGTCGGAAACCGTCAATTAAGAGTCAGGTCACGCGACTTAACAAACATACTAGGAACTTATAAGGTATAGAATGAATACCGTCTTAAAAGGCAGAATCGTGTCAACAACCATCATCTTTAGACCATTTTGACGTCTAAAATTTTCGAATGTTTGATATGCAAATGTATCCAATTTAAAGAAACACGTTTTGTGACGTCATCAAGAGCGGAAAATCACGTGACGCTATATAACACTTCTATACGATCAAACAAGTCAAATGTTAATTCTTCAAGTTTCACAACTGAAACAAACTTATTCTTATTCTGCAAACGTGATTTCTTAAAACTCTACTGGGGGTCCTCTATATTAACAAATCCAAGCCTTGATGCACTCGAGTATGGCGTTCAGCATTGAACACTGCTGTTTTCTTCTTTCCTCTACTTGTTTCTGTTATTCCAATTATAGCTCACTAGATAATATCTTTGAATATATTGTATCCTTTCAAAAGAAAAAGTTCCATTTTCCACCTGTATTTAGTTGGTAGGAGGAATGAGAAAATGGATGTTAAGGTAGTTTTTCTTGGAAAGTGATTACCTATTTCTTATGCTATTTATTTTTTATCTTGGTTTTAGAAAGTCAAGTTCCAGGATGCTTTTTATGCCCCTCCGGTTGTAGTGGTATCTCCAAGACTTGGTTACAATAACAACAATTCACGTTTCTCAGGATCCGCACCATGTAACTTAGTTACTGCCTGGGTTGAGGTTAGAAACACTTAGTCTGCCTATTCTTCTTTGTGGTTCTAATAGGGAGAATTTGTTTAAAATTAAAGAAATGTTGTTTTTACCGTTGTCCTTATACTCACGTTAAAAACTTAGATTTTTCCAACGACGTGTAGCTGGGTATGTAAAGCGAATGAAGGCTATTTAACTGGTTTCTCATTTTCTTATAATTATGGCAAATAGCCTTCTTCAATGATAGTACATTAAGCTATTTTTACGAATAATAAAAACAGGCTTTCCGCAAAGGAAACACTTATAAGAACTTTTGTGCAGACTTGTGCTTTGGAAACTGATTTTTTTTATAGTTTTGTACTCGTTTTGTTCTTTAAAACAAAGGTGTAAGATTTAACAGGTGATCATGAATTGTTTTAACAATTCATGATCAGTATTCGTTATTTCTTACTGTACTTGCACTAACCCTTAGTTTAACCATCAGTAAATCGACAAGTCAGCTGAAATTTGAAAAAAAAAAGATATTGTATGACTTTTTTTGTTTTACTAAGATAACATGAACAGGTTTACTCTGGTTCAACAAAATACTATATTTTGTTAAATGTGAACTTAAAGTATTTCTTTCGTTATTTTGGAATATGCTTAGAATACATCTACAAACGAAACAGAAGTGTGTGTGAGAAGCTACAACAATGACGCCAACGATAAGGATATCATAAAGGTCGATTATATGGTAATTGGAGGTACGTAATAAATTGTGTAACGTAAAATGAGGGAACAACAATGACTTTTATCTGTAGACAATCACGGTCCTCTCCTAACAATTATACATAAAAGCGATTAACTGTACAATACAAAAATGTATATTTCGATTAAATTTTATCCTAAATTAAAGTTCTTTTCCTTTGTTTCAAATCATTCAGATTATACATTACTAGCTAGGCCCCAAAACAAAAGAAACTGAGATTAAAGGCTAGATATAGGTTAAAATTCAGCAATATTCGACAGACATGGAAGCGCTCTTGTGCTTTAGGCTGTGTTCACATTATAACGGATAGCTTTCGTGGCGCCATGAGAAGCCATCCGGTATAGTGTGTGAACACCTACATGTATCCAACATGTGACCCTACACTTTAGAGATCTGCGAGGCACATCCTCTCTTTGTCACAGAAATCACACCGCCACAACCGTTTTTTTTTGTGTGAACAGAAGCCCAATCCGATATGATTTTCGTGGCGGCGCACAAGCTATCCGGTATACTGTGAAGATAGCCTTAACTTTTATCCTCTGGGGAGGAGGGGGGGGGTACTGCCATATATGGGCTATATAGGTATGTGCCGCTTTTCAAGCAGTTTACTCTAGGATAGGGTATATAAATCAGAGCGTTTGGGTCTAGAATAGGGTATCATTTTTCAGGAAACTGATCATTTGGTTGAAGATTTTATCTAGACCAGGGAGTCCACCAGGGAAACAGCCACTCTAGGATAGCGGGGATTTGGAGAGTTTACTCTAGTATAGGGTAGCAAAATTCAGCTGAACTAGCTCTGGTATAGGTTAAGGGTTCCAGGATCCCAGCGGCACATCCCCTCCCAGAAATTCCTAAAGTACCCCTCCCCCCTCCCGGGCCTTTATCCAGTTCCCTGATGAAAAAAAAATTCCAGGCTGTTTTATCTATTGACGAATTCGAAATGAATGAATCGGAAATGATGCCATCCGATTCCAACGCTTGTATGTTTGTCTTTTAGACTTGGATCCTTGTATAGATGTAACATGTCATTATCACAGTCTGTGTAAGGCTTTTGGACCTAATGATGCACGCTGTGTGTGTGTTGACCGCTGTCCAACTTACAAAGAACCCGTATGTTCATCCAATGGCACAACATACGACAACAAATGTCTGTTTGAACAGGAAGTTTGTCTCAATCGACTAAACTTTACCGTACAACATCCTGGCAGCTGTGAAGGTCAGCAGTTTCGTTGCCTTTTTTGTAATGGCCAACGTGCACCTTTTCACTGAATCCTGTTAACCTTGTTGAACAGATAGTAAAATTTTCTTTTACTTCATTTCGGTTTACTTTCCCAATTCTTGGGCGGGAAAAGTTGTTGCGCCAACAAGGGATTTAAGTTTGTTTCTATAAACCTATAACTAACCTTTCCAACTCCTTTTTAGGATTTCCTCTTCAGCGTGGTCGCCTTCACATGGCCCATATTCCATCTCTGGGTTATTCTCACTGTCAAGTAATTAGTTTCGAACCTTTTGTGTTTTATCCTGACAAATCCATTGAAGTGCAGATAACTGTCAATCATATGGATACCAGTGACAAATCGTATGTCCATGACGCGGCGGTATCGTGGATTGAAAATGTCAATAACGGCGGATTTACTGCCTGTGTGATGGCAGCCGGATATAACGAACGAAAGTCATATGCTAACGTGACAGTTGATTGGATGGCGTATCAAGGTGCTCCAATGGGTGGCGTGACTGGTGAACTGCGCATGTCACAGTGGTGGACAGGGACGACTTGTGCAACTGTCAAATTCCCCACTGTAAGTTGCCCTGATCTATTTCTGAACGTTCTCTTTTTCAAAGCTTTTATGGTTATAAACATCATTCACGACAGTTGAACGTTTGGAAGTCTTGTCAAATTACAGTTCAGAGTGCTTTATAGTTGTGAGAAAATGCTAAACATTACAATAGTTAAGGAAATGGAATAAAATATATATAAAGTGATCGTTCTTTCACTAATTAACCACATTTACCTATCTAACTGTGTTCGAAGAAGTGAAACATAACGTTCAAACTGCCGCTTTTAATAACTTTGCTGAATCTATAAAGATCACCATTCTTTCTTTGAATTGTTAATAAAGTGGATAAACGGAGAAATAAAAAATAAAGAAATAAATAAGAACAGATGATAATAATTTTAAATACAAGCATTTTATCAGAATGACAATTTTTCTGTGCTATTTGCAGACGAAATTTTCAGTCAAACCTTCAGTCTTTGTGACGTCAAAGCATTACAATCCAGGACTAAAACGTGACGCTGCAAGTGTATGGATTGAAGATGTAACAAAATCATTTTGTAAAGTTTGTATGAGAGAACTGCAGAATTATGCTGGATCGCACCGAGATATTTTTGTGGTAAGTATAATGTATCCTTAAGTGAATGTCAAACATGGATCATGCATTGGTCTGCCACCGGCCTTATAAGTTACAGGTAATTCTACGGACACCCTTAAAAAGAACAGCGCGTAGTTATCATAGGTCGCGCAACTCCGCAAATTCATCTTAGAATTAGTTATTAAAAGGCGCCATTCTTCACCTTCACACCTCATACCCATTGCTTTTTATTATTTATCTATGCATGCCGGTCGATTAACGAGAAATAACAAGTTTTTGATTTTATTTTCAGAATTGGCTGGCCTTTTCGGATCTTCCCAACCCTCCCTTTTCAGAACATAACTCGATCTACTTTGCAAATGATAAACCTCCCAACAGCAGACATTATAATGCCTTTTGCAAGGTCAGTATCAGCGTTTGACCTTGAATCCAAATTTCAGTGAAAAAGCCGTTTTTTACCATCTGATGATAGTTATCAAATTTTACTTTCAGACCATTAAAGCGAAGGTGTTTAACATGTAACAGTCTTAGCAATGTACTTAATACTGACAATTCCACAGGTCACACATTCGCTACTTCTATACCTCACTCACCTCTATGATGGAGTCTATCCATTTGGTGTTTGTATGCATTGAATAGTTTTAAGAATTAAATGTAAGTATTCTGTGAAAGGAGAATGATAGAGCAAAAGCATAAAATCCATTTGAATGGCAATTTCACATTATCAAAGGTTTAAAGTTTAGTTGCAGCCTATGTTTCAAAGGGCTTCTTGTGCCGAGCTGAGTGAATTCAACTAACGTTGGCCTCAAAATCTGTTTCGTCTTGCTGTATTTGTTTCACAGATTTGAGCTTCTCAGTTTGGAAGTGTATTTTATGTAGTGCCAGCCCAGTTTATTGTGAACGTTGATATGGCATGCTTTTCCCAAAATTTTAAACTCAAAGTTAAGAATTAGTTCATTCACGATAATCTCAAAATCGTCAGGAAAACAAAAAGACCTCCTTTTTCAAAGGTGGCGCAAAGCCTAATCAAAACCGAGGTTCTCAAATTTCACTTTATTTCCTTTTTACCCGTCTCTAGTCAAGGACACTTTAAGGTAGTATCTATGAACAGTAAAGTAAGATTTAGTCATCCAGACCTTACCAGAGGATTCTATCAATACAAAAAAAAGCTGTTGGACTTGGAAGTATTCTCTGTAGTTATTTCTTAATTAATGAATTATCTGTCTCTACAACTTGACTATATAAACTATAAAGTGAAAAAAAGAAATAGAGGTGTGTGAATTAGACGATATCTTGTTAACAATTTCCCTTGAAGTTGAAATATTTTCTTTACCTTTTATAGGAGGCAATCTTTGCCAAAAGTTATAACACAACGCCACACGTCTTCGTTTCTGCTTCTCACTCGACAAAAAGAGGGAATCAAAGTCCAGTTCATAACAGCATAGCTGCCTGGGTAGAGGTTGGTAACTAGCAATGTCAGGATATCAAATTTCATATCAAATTAAGAGTAGTATAGTAGAGAACTAATTAACTTTTTTGCGGACGAATCTCGTTATTCTGCTGAGAAATACATAAACACCGATGATGTTATGACCTTTTGTCTTTATTCCTTGAATAGTAACCTGTGACTAATCGTAATAATAATAATAATAATAATAATAATAATAATAATAATTATTATTATTATTATATTCATAATCATAACACATTTAACTAGGGTAAACCTGTCAGTGAAAGCTGTTATAAATGGGGAGAACGATACCAATTTCAGCACTGAAGAATACAGGCAACTACAACAAATAAAGATAAAAATAAGTAGTTACAGGTGTAAACTGGTGCTTGGGCACCAGCGAAAAAAGTGCCTTTCTTCACAGATTCTGTGCGTACTGTAGAAATTAAAGTATCTAAATATAGGTGGAATCTCATTAACATAGGTCGTGTGCCATTTTAAGGTGGTTTAAACGGTTTTACACTGGGGCTTTCTAGAACTTGTTAGGGAAACAAATGCGTTGCTTTTTGATTGGTTGACTAAAAGAAAGTAAAGTATTCATTTGTTGATTCATGCTGTCAAAGTAATAAGCGCTAGCTGCCCTTTGAAATGAAATCGCTGAGTAAGTATCCAGTTCTGCTGCGTTCATTGCCCAACAGTTTTTTCCAGTTTAGGTTCTCTGGCTCTTGGCGAGCAAATCGTGCGTATTGATGACTTCGAAGACAAACTAGCTCTTTCTAATAACAAACCGAATTGTTAACTTACCCGTGTCCCCCTTCTCCTTCTCCACAATTCAGTTTTTTCGCTTCACCTTCCTTTTTTGATTTTTCTTCCAGCACGAACACCACCACCACAGCCGCCACAACCACATTTTCATTGTTTTGCCGGTCCTCCTCCACCATCACCACCACCACATTACCATTGTTTTCCTACCACCACCACCTTTCTATTGTTTTCTCTCTTCCTCCACCACCACCACTGCCACCACCAAATTTCTAGTGTTTTCCCGCCCTCACTTCCCCATTTCTATTGCATTTCCATTGTTTTCCTTACTCCACCACCACCACCACCACCACCACTACATTCCTATGCGTATTTCCACCACCACCACCACATTCCAATGCGTATTTTAGTACTAATGTTTAGTGCTTTTACGTACAGTATATTAGCAGGAAAGGCTTTCGGGTTTGTGTCAAAGAACTGTATGAGGCAAAATACGACCCACTCTTCATATCCTACATAGTTTTGTCAGGTAAGAACTTTACTGCAAAAAAGAGAAGATTTTTACGGTATATCTTTCAATATTGTCTCTCATTTGTGACTCAATGCCGTGATTTATACGCACAGATATCTGTCCAGATGGATGGGATTACTTCAATGGATACTGCTATTTAACGCGCTCTGTATGCGCACCTTGGGTGACTGCTGTGTCAAACTGTTCAGCTATGAACTCACATCTGGTAACAGTGCACAACCAAGAAGAAAATGTCTACATACAGCACCGTCACAATGGAGAGCGATCATGGATTGGCCTTAATGACCGAAGCGTCGAGGGATCGTTTGTGTGGACAAACAAGGAAATAATCAGTTTTCAGTTCTGGGCACCGCAACAACCAAACAACTTGAAAAACGAAGACTGTGTCCACGCCCTTGGTGCAGAGGATGGCTACACTTGGAATGACGTGTCATGTGATAAATGCTATAACTATACTTGTGTTAAAGGCAAGTTTTGAGTCACTATAGAAATACTACAAATCCAAACCTTTGTCACCAATAACGAGGTTTGAAGATCACTTCTGCAGTAGTGAGTTTTTATGATAATTTCGTCGCCGTGTTGTTGATCAGAATTTCATAAAGTCTGCATTTTATGCAATTCTCTTCCAGGCAGTAGTCTAAATATTTAGATAAAGGTAACCCCTGTACTTATCACTCTCAGTTGCTCCAAAAAAAAATTCCTCAGGTGAATGATAATACTGCTACGGTGATAATATGGTCTTCATTGACTTTTGTTGTCTACTGCAGACATTGACGAATGCATCAGCAATTATCACAGGTGTGATCCAAACGCTGCTTGTCAGAATACCGAGGGCTCATACGTTTGCACTTGCAAAGCTGGATTCTATGGAAATGGAAAAATGTGCTTTGGTAACTATTATAACCCTTTTTTATGTTTTCCCGACCTTTGCATTCTGGTTGGCTGTTGAGTTAACATATTTGCCTTTTAAGGTAAGGATACTATATTCTTCTCCAATATGTATGGATCAGAACTTACCAATAAACTAAAAACTAACTAAGAATTACAATGGGCATTCTCGGTCTTTGTTTTGACAATTAATTAGGCACACAGAATATCTGCTAATAGCACATTTAGTGTCCTTTCGGCTCCTTCTGGGCTCAGGTTTGATTTTTAATGTGATATATCATCAAATTGAATGGGACTCTGCGACATGTATAACGTATTCTACAGACTACTCTCAACGTCTTTCTTTAGAAACCTGGTTTACTAACTTAGAACAAACGCCACTGAATCGTAGTCGTACAAACGACTTATTCAGGAGATCAAGCAAAACTAACTACGAGAGAACGACTGGAGATCTGACAATTTGACTAACAATAGACCACTGTTTAACTGTGACAATAAACGGATCGAAACGCACCAATTACTGATTACGAGTCTTCAAAGGCAATAACATCACGGCTTAACTGAGAGATGACCAATAACATTGCGACGTAATTGACCAATCAGATCAATAACCAGAGTATAATACCATCAACTGACGTGATACAACTCACTTTGACTCTGAAGATGACTACCGCACAGGTTGTCGAAACGTCAGTCACTGTCAACAACAACAGTCCTATTCAGGACTACGTTCACCCGGACGATCAAACTCAACCTACTTTTGATATATTTTTTTCTTCAACCTGTCCATCAGTTGTTTTAAACTTATCATACATTGCCATACGTCAAAACAAAGTAATAAAAAATTACCAGCGCTAGCACATAATTTGCTTAGGTCAGGATTCACTGACTACTCAGATTATCATTTGTTTTCTCCGTCATTAGACATTGATGAATGCAGCAACAAAACCCATACCTGTGACGTGAATGCAGTTTGTAGCAACACTGAAGGGTCTCACAACTGCACCTGCAAACCTGGATACTCTGGAGATGGGAAGAAATGCATTGCAGTTGGTATGCAGCATCCCTACAGAATTCCTATGATATTGTCTATAATTATTTTATACTGTTTAGTTCGGAAAGCTGGTTCAGTTTACGAATATTTTGCCTAAATATAGACAGTTAGGCTTAATTTGTTAAGTTTTTAGCGCCATTATTCCGGGCCTGAATTTCTTACACAGTTTCTCATACAGCTTACAGTACAGTGTACAAAAAGTAGATATTATTGTTGACTTTATAAGTCGTAAAGTAGCCATATCCTACCAAATGTAGAATTAACACGCAGTGCTGATGTCATGTCTTCCAGTTCCTAAGAACTGTGCTGAACTGTACAAAGCTGGAAAACGAACAAGTGGAGTTTACAAGTTCGACCCAGACGGTGCTGGTGCCTTTGACGTGTACTGTGACCAAACAACATCCGGTGGGGGGTGGACAGTGTTCCAAAAGAGAGTAGATGGCTCGGTTAATTTCTACCGCGGCTGGAACGACTACAAAAAAGGGTTCGGAAATCTGAATGGCGAGTTTTGGCTCGGACTGGACAAAATTCACCGCCTGACAAAAACTAAAAGCAAACTTCGAGTGGATCTAGAGGACTTCAACAGAAACACAGTTTATGCCGAGTACAGCTACTTTGCGATAACAGACGAGAGAAGCAAATATAAGCTGACTCTTGGAACTTACTCCGGTAATTGTATTACTAACTTGATTAACGACGGAGTTCGTGGAAACGTCTTTTAACGGCCCAAGTTAATGGTAATGATCATTTGACGTTTAAGAAATAAAGACTCACCACAGAGATACAGCTGGTCCAACATACAGCGAAGTATGTAATAATCACAACGCTATTATAACATAAGAGTAAAGCTAGTAAATATAATATGGAGCGTTAGAGTGATTTTACTTCCACCATGAAACGGATTCAATGTTTCCCACTGTTTTTAGATCTTAACCATTCCATTAAAAATCACAGTTTTGTGGAGATGAATTTAAGGAAATATCGTTTCTTCCAATTTCATTTTCCAGGAAATGCTGGTGACTCGTTTAGTGGCAGGGGCTCCCCTTTCACCACTAGAGATCATGACAATGACGCCTCGTCTGCTAACTGTGCTACACTTTTCAAGGGAGCTTGGTGGTATGGAAGCTGTCATAGTTCCAACCTGAACGGCCTCTATCATCGCGGAAGACACTCTTCATATGCTGATGGTGTGAACTGGTATGGTTGGAAGGGATATCACTACTCCGCTAAACGAGCTGAAATGAAACTCAAACCAGTCAACTTCTAAACCAACAAACAGCGATTGTCAGTGCTTATATCTGCTTGATTGGCAATGGTCGGTTAAATAACTTAGCTGTAACACATTTTTTTAGACTGCTGCTGAAATGATAAATTAAGCATAATCTTGTCACAGATTTGATGGGAAAAACACTATAAAATAAAAGATGTTGCAATTGGCTTTCGCAATGTTTATACTAACTGCGTTCTGTCCAACAAGTCTTTCTTCTTCCGATTCACTGAACTTTATGGTCTTTGTTTTTAATACTTGCTTTAGATATGCTTTTTTTGGCTCAGTCAATTCCAAGCGCGCCCTTCCCCCCACGGGCATTTGTCAATTCTTCTAGAAACGGTTAACATTTTTCCTTTGTCAATATTTCACTTTAACATATGCCTATTTTGATAGCTATTGACATTTTTAGAAAGAATCTTTTTAATACTTATGCTTTAAAAAGATACGTGCAGTTTTCGCTCCATCACCACCCTACTACAAAGTATTTTTTGAATCCGTCTAAGCAACTGCTTCCCGCGATCCCGCCAACTTGATTGGTTCGTACATGGAAGAAAAACAATCAATGCATTGTTTAAAAGAAAAGACACTTTAATTCTTTGTGAGCGAATGGTTGAGGCAGAGAGTCAGAGAAAAACTCTGCGAGATGTTTAAAAGGTAATATAAGCTTTGTGTTTTGTATCATCAATGCGACGACGTTGACCAAACGGTTCCATGGTGATGAGAAAATAATCATGTTTATAAGTTTGTCGGTTATTTGATAATCATTCGCCAATTTAAATACCTTCGAAAATAAGAAAGGTGGTATTAAAATTGTAGTGTATAGTTCTGTCATTGATATTCATCAGATCGGATAACTCTTTTTAGCAATAATTATCACTGACTTGCCGGCAAGGAGCGATTTCCGTTGCGTGTTTCACGCGTTTTGATCAGATTATTACAGATTTCCTATAAACTAAATATGGCATTTGCAGCTTATTTACTGGAAAATGCAATGTTAGTGTTGGCCCGGGGTGGGGCATTTGCCCACTTTTTTATGCTCCACTTTGGGGTTTTTGGATGAATCGCCCGGCCCCACCGTTGGGCATTTTCAGCTTTTCCAAAAAAATAAAAAAAGACAAATGCCGGGGGGAAGGGGGGTTGGGTAGGTTGGAATTGCCTGAATCATTGTTGACCAAGCAGAAGGTCAAGATGGTTGGATATTGGCCAAGTTCCTCTGTCCGTTTTTATAGACCGAGTCGAGGCCAATAGACAGCCATCTTGATCGAATAAGCTTGGTAAATAAAGGATTTATAGCGGAGCTCCGCGCGCGAAGCGCGCCTGCGGAGCACCATGGGTAAATAAATCTACCCATCCCAGAAAATTTGGTAATCACGAGACCGACCGACCGAGCGACCGACCGACCGTCCGTCCGCACCACAGGCATACCAATGTTTACTCTCACACTTTCTAGCTACTCTGGGAGCCCAGGAGAAAGCTGATTGCACATCAATGTTGTCATCAATTGACAGCTGTCAAAACAGGATATTCGCTGACCAGTATCATCTGGCCGCATTGCGGGCTCAGGTGTCGACCCATCGAGTTCGAGTATTTTTTGAAGTTAACCGCTGAAAATTTACTCGTTTTCAAATGATCATATCAATATCAAATATGTTGTGTTTATGTCAGTATCGCACCGCACTATTACGATTTTGATTTCAAACTGACCTCAGACGCAAAAATTCAGCCAGTGTTTTTAAAAGACAGGCGGGGAAGACCTTTTCTTACCATGGTTACGTGTTGGTCACGCTCCACGTCCAATTTTTATGCTCCGATTGGTTAAAATTTGACAGGTGAGTTCATGCGTAAAATTTATGCAGCATCTTGAAAGTTGTTTACTTTGAACGCTGAAGCTGACAGAGTTTTGAGTCAACTTGTGATGTTTTTAATTGTCTTTTTCCACTGGATGTACAAAATGAAATACAGCTGCTATCAAGAGTGTTATCTTATTCATGGCTGGTTTGTTTATTGGGTTTTTGGTTGAGAAGTGGGTCGCTTGTCAAAGCCGATAATCCGATTTCGGACGGCATCGTTTTTGTTTTTCACCTTGCTGGATGCGTACGAGAATTATAAAGGCTCAAGCGATCCTTGCCTTACTTGCTGGCTTTCAGGAGCTGCATCTCGAAATATGGTAAGCTTAAGTAATTATTGTATTTAAATATAATTTCATGAAGTCCAGCGGCGCAGTTTATGAAGCTAGTTTATGCACGTTTGTATTAAGATTTGACTGAGACACCGATCTTAAAAAGCCTTTAGTCGATATTAATTCACCGTAAATAGAAAGAAAAAACTTTCCGAAGAATATTTACTTATAATTTTGGCTGTAGAAAGAAAGCTTTGAGCGATTTTCTTGTCGTGAGTCATCTTTGAAAACAGCAAACACCGGGAAACCGGCGGCTTAAAACATTATGGGTTTCTGAATAAACTTAATCTTTAAGCTTACTAGTAAAGATTCTTAGAGACACTTAAATACTCATTTGTTTTCGTGAATGAAAATTGTTGTCTCTGTAAATGTTCTACCGAATGATATTTCTTTATTGATTGTTGGTAGTCTCAAAAGTGTGATTTTCATCGCTTTGCCGTTTGTTTTCAGCCGTTCATAAACATCGCTTTCAGGAGTACTCAAAATGCGAAGCGTCTCAAACTCTTTTTAAGATTACACATCGTTATAAAACCATTAATAAAAAAATAGACTCAATAAATTCTTTGTCACGTTGAAGGGTAACTCTTTTAAAATTTCTTCGCAAATTTGGCGCTTGTCAAAAGTTAGAACCGGATGGCCGTATAGGTGATTTTGGAAATTTTTTGAACGGTTTCGCTAATTAAAAGTCCACGCGTGCTTCGATGGTCCTGAATATTGAATGCATGCAATTTGTCTTGAAAGTTTGTGAAATACTGCATTTTGTACGAGGTCTGTATGATAAAAACAGCGCCTCATAGTACTCTTTCTCCTCAGATGTGGTCTATAAAAAATAATAAAAGATTGGTTTGCAGGCACTCAGATTTATTGGCAAGAATTTGTAAACTTGTCGAACGAAAAAATTCGGTCTGATTTGTTTTCCAAGACTTTGTTTTCCACGCCTTATCTACTGTGATCAAGAGCCATTATTGCTCTTAAATGTGACCGAAGACTATTTTTGGGGTGTACATATAGAGCTATATCAACTCGATACAAGATTTGTTTCACTCCAAAATCACTTAGCTTTTCCCTCAAAAGTCACATGAATGTGCCCTTAAGTTAACTGATTTGTGGAATACAAAATTATTGTTTGATTAAGTTATAAAAATATCAATGGGAGCTTCGCTTTTAGCTGTGGCTAAATCTATATATTATATTATATGGCCAAAAAGACAACATTTTCTTGGGGAACAACAAGAGAAATCCTGAGCCCGCTTGGTTAGGAGGGGGACATTGGGGGTACCCACTACCACAGTACCGTAAGAAAAAATGGCAAATACCGAAATACCGCGTCGAAAATCGTCTAAATACCGATACCGCATATTTTAATCACATTTATAATCGGTTCCCCATACTTATGGTTGCTTCCATGTAGCGCGTTTAATTATCCCAGGCATATATTCACCAGATTTCCATGTTGTTGTAATATTTTGGTAGTTCGCAGATTTTCACTGCAGCGCCGTAGCTAGTATGAGGCCAACCGAGGCACTCGCCTCGGTAAAATTTTGACGAATTTCGCCGATCATTTTTATTTTACATAAGCGATCATCGGATATTTTTAACGCATCATGATATTACAAAGAATTCAGCAATTCAGTCAATATACTATGAAAAAATTACCATATCATCGATCTCAAGGGGCTACGTACGTTAACTCAAATTTTTTTTGAACAAATACTGATCAAAACCATTGGCGAGGTTAACGGTCACCCAGATTATGTAACTTGTTTCTGATTATTGCTTTTTAAATTCCACTTAAATTAACTCGAAAAAAAGTTACCGAAAGGCCCAGAAAACGCTGCAAATCGCATTTCCGAGAGACTAAAGTTCAAAATTTCTCGAGGGGGGGGGGGCATGCCCCCGAACCCCCCTAGCAACTCCCGCCTGCCTCGGTTGGCCGTTTGGTCTGGCTTCGGCACTGCACTGAAAAGTAAACAAGAACGCTCTTAGTAGCGTTGAGTCTCGCTTGCTTGGAGATGAGTTTTGTTGTCAAAGGCCCCGGTGCCGTTATACTACTTTTTCGTTTGGAATACAAAACGAGTGTTGTATGTCATAATATATATACTCAAAAAGTAAAAATTGCAAGGAGAGACAGGCCGCACATCTTAGCCTCAAACCGGTGTGAAACCTTTGAAAACCTTCTACACATTGATATTGCTCCATTGAGGAGTACTCTTTCATGGATTCTACACTCGAAAAATTGAACGATGATTTTTATCGGTCCTTAAATGGTTTGAGTAAATTTTGGAGAGAATCAGGGGCCCATGACTCTGTCAGTATAAATAAATATACATAGCTTCTTTGTACCCCAGGGGGGTACTCGGGATTTCAAGCGACGGGGATGATCGAATGGAGCCAAAAGTCGAGACCCAAAATAATCCCTAGGGCTTCCAGCAAAACCCAAAAAAATCCCTGGACCAAAAATGCAGACTATTGTATAACACGTGCGATGTAAAGCGACACCATAGTTAACTATTAAACAACAGCAAAACATGTTTGCTTGTACTTTACTCGCAGAACTACGCAGCCAGGGCACTACCGATTCTTTTTAATACCCCCAAAAAATCCCTACTCAAATCAAGCTACCCAAAAAAATACTTGCCAAATTTTCGAACCCCAAAAAATCCCGGAATCGAAAATTTCAAACCCAAAAAAATCCTTCGATCATCCCCGTCACTTGAAATCCCGAGTACCCCCGCCCCCCCAGGGCTTTGTACCGGACCAAGATACGGCTCGGTACAGTATATGTTCAGCACAGGAAAAAAGTGTTAGTTGAACAGAA